GGTTCAGTATCTTGATCAACTGCAGAAAGCTAGAAAAAAAATAAATGGAAATAAACAAACAACAATAAAAGTCTGTGTTAAAAACAGATAGTCGTTTTAACACACACACACTACACACATACGAACGGACAGTTGTAGATTTCAAGCTAGATGATGATCACAAATCCCCCCATCGGGATTGATCACGAACTGACAGCACAGTTAGAAAACCATTGGAAAACCGGAGAACTTTTTCGTCCTAGTTTGGGACTCTTCATCAGTACTCACCCACCAGGCCCTTATACAGGAAGTTATCTGGCTTACTAGCGAGAAGTTGTAACCAACGGGGTCTACGAAGTCAGGCTGGCGGTTGCACTAAATATACATCACGAATTGGCAGAAGTTGGAATTCAATGCACTGGCCATCAAGTCGGATCCCACCCCAGTGGATGAATGGTCTACGAGCTCTCCACGTAAGCGGAAGGTCTTGGTTTCGAACCCTGGTGGCGGGTGAGTACTGATGAAGAGTACCAAACTAGGACGGAACAGTTGTTGAGTACTCCCAGGTTTCCCGATGGTTCTCTAACTGATGTCAGGTGTGAACAATTCTGTAACCGATCAAATGCCTGCAAACTAACACTTGACAAATCCACATCAGTTATAGAATCATCAAAAACCACGGAGCGCTACTGATTAGTAACTGATTACGGGACGGAATTGTAGTGAAGAGTCATGATTGATAGGGTCTATGTGAGAACAGGTAGTTGCCGATGACATTCGATTCCGTCCCAGTTGCTAAATGGTCAACGTGTTCGCTCGAAGGTCCTGGTTGCGTACCGCTGGAGAGTCTCGAACTAGACCGAAACAGCTGTTCAGGTACCCCTACACCCCATTCTACCCAGCTTTAAATCAGTTCCCCAAATGTCACTCTGTTACCTAACTTAAAAGTAGTCATATCCCTGCAAATCGGTACTTTCTGTGGTCAGCAGGAATGCAAAACTGGAGGAGAGTTGTTCAGCTACTGTTCATGCATTTGATACCAGTTTTCTGTAATTCTATAGGCATAGATTATACTCCCTTGTATTACCATTTATAAAATATTTTTGACCGACATGTATATCTTTTTGATTCTCTTATAGGGTGCGTTGAATCATTCTTTATATGACATAAGGAATTTTTGGGCCTGCTATCATAACATCTACATATTGCATCCAACCTACCATTTACTCCATTTATTTATCACCCAAATATGAATTCTAAAAGGATCATTTACTCTCGTAACTTTATTAATCATTTACGACCCAATGACTTTCATATTCCCAAGAAATCAAGGAGGAAGCATCGTAGTGGTTGGCAGAGAGCTCTTAAACGTACACCAATACACTTAACTACGGTCCCTGTCATAATGAACACTAACTGCCGCTCTCTGCCAAACAAGATAATGTACCTACAATCCTTGATGTCCACTGACACTTATCATAATACTGCGATAATCACATTACAAGAAACATGGTTACACGAACTGTACGATGACAATCTCATCTCACTAAAGGACTTCATCCTATTTAGACAAGACCGAAAATGCTGTAATAAGAAAAATGGGGGCGGAGTAGCAACTTTTATTCACTCCAAATGGTCTATTTCTAATAATGTTTGCTTCTCATTCTCAAATGACTTCATAGACTGTATCACCGTCAAATGTCGTCCCAAACATCTCCCCAAATATAAACACATCTTTATTACAAACATGTACATTTCTCCAAGTTGCTCACTATCTAATCTTTCAAATTTTGCTGATGAATTCACCATGTTTGCTGCTGCCAACTTCGATAACTCTCTATCTGTTATTACTGGGGACTTCAACTCGTCAGATTGCTCTTTCCTTGAAGCACTTGGTCACTCTAACATTGTCAAATTTCCCACTCGACTAGACAAAACACTTGATTTAGTTTTTACAAATGACGAAGGAATATATGAAGCACGTAAACGTGCACCGATCCTCAACTCTGATCACTCTATTGTTCGTGTTCTACCAAAAATATACAGCAAAACACATATTAAAGTCTTCTCGCATCTGTCTATGAAAGCACAACAAAGATGCTACTCATCCGACAACTTACTCAATCTAAGGTGCATGTTACAAAATACTAACTGGGATTTATTCCATGAAAGTTCATTAGATGACACAATTGTCAATATAACGGATTATCTTAAGTTCTGCCTTGATATATGCTGTCCCAAACAAACACTATTCAAACGCCTCGACCGCTTCTCATCTCCTTATCTCAAACAACTTCGCAGGCAAAAAGAAACATTATACAAATCCAAAGACAAGTTAGGACTCAAAAAGATTAATGCTCAGATCAAATCTGAAATCAAAAATCTTAATGCTATCTATAATGATACACTTTTATCATGTAAATCTCCTATCAGCATGTGGAAACTTTTTAATGAAATTACTGGCAATAGTAAGCGTTGTAATGCTTTTCCCTCTTATGATGTTAATGCTCTTAATCAGTCTTTTATACGCTGTCCTTCTACTTTAACTACTTCTAATGTTACCTATCATGTAGCTGAAAACTTTCATGACTTTAATACTCTCGATGTTCTAAAATGTCTTAAAACGCTCAAGCCCTCACGTAGCCTTGGCCCTGATGGTATACCTGCATATGTTCTAAAACAATGTGCAGATGCGTTGTGTTCTCCACTAACCAACATCCTAAATGCTTCTTTCTCCAAAAATATCGTACCTGATGCATGGAAAGACATCAAAATTGTCCCTGTCCCTAAACCTGGAAACGGCAAGAACGTAAAGTTCAGACCCATTGCCATCACTTCCCCGTTTCTAAAGCTTATGGAAAAACTAATACTTCTTAAACTTGAACCCTCCCTTAAAAACTTCGAAGACCCCAAACAATTTGCCTATAGACAGGGTAGGAGTACATTAGACGCTGCAGCTGTCTTACACAACAACATCGTCTCATCATTAGATAAAGGTGCCAAATACGTCCGCTGCACGTTTCTTGACTTCACTTCTGCTTTCGACTCTGTACCTAGATGTCTCCTGCTAAATAAGCTCTCTTTGACAAAAACCGAGTCCTGGGTCACTAACTGGCTGCATTCCTACTTCTCTAACAGAATGCAGTACACCGTATACAAAGGTAAATCATCCTCTGCTGTACTCACTGAAGCCGGAGTCCCCCAAGGCGCTGTACTCTCCCCACTTCTCTTTTCTTTCTTTCTACATGACTTACCATCTTCAAATGACATTAATTTTGTCAAATATGCTGACGATCTGTCTGTATCTTTGCCTGTCAAATGTCAAAGCGACTGCTCTAAACTTAATGGCTTTCTGTCAGAAATCAGCCAGTGGTCCAAGGAAAATGGTCTTACCCTAAACCCCTCCAAATGCCAAACAGTCAATTTCACCTTTAGGCATAAATCCGACCTAAACAAACTGGTTGGCTCTCACGAGGTATGCAACATAGACGGCACTGAAATAGAAACCAAATCGGAAATTAAATACCTAGGTGTCATTCTATCTGCTGATCTCTCCTGGTCGTCTCATATCTTAGCAATTTCTAAGAAAATATTCCGTCTTACCTTCTACATTAAGAAGTTAAAACATTCTGGTATAACCCAACCCTTACTCCTACAATTCGTTAATTCTCGCATCCTGCCTATTATTCTCTATTGTTCCCCCTTAGTTTTTCCCGGGCTACTGAAGAAAGACTATAACATATTACGCAGGATGTTAAAGGTTGTCAGCAGGGTAAGCAACGTGCCACTTAACCAGCTTGTTAATATTCTGGTCGACAGGCACATGGACTCCTGTGAGAAATGGGCCAAGTCCATTTTATCTAACTCACACCACCCTCTTCACTCACAACTCTCCCCTTGCATCTCATCAGGTAAAACCAGAAGCCTATATAGAAAACTATATGCTCGCACCAGCAAGTACAAAAACTCAACCATACCCTACTTAGCTCGTGTTCTGTGTGATAAAGAAAGCATTAGGCGTGACACCTATAATTCATTAAATAGTCAGTAGTACAACTGGATCTCGTCTTTCCAACTCACATCATCAATAGGTACAACATTTTCTTTCTTTCTTTTCCTTTTCTCTCTCTTCTTTTTCCGTTATGTGCTGCTTTGTTTCTTTCTCTCGCTTACGCCAGTTAATAAGACAGCTCCCACTTTTCTAACACCTTCAAACACTGTTTCAGCTTTACCTTTGCTACCGACATGCCAATGTGTTGTTGTAATAATGAACTGTGATTTCCTTAATCTATGTAGAATTCTATTTATTGATAATGTACTAACTGGATGCAATACTGTAGTAAAAATGCTGAGAATTCCATTCTGTATCACATGTACTGTTTTGGAATAAAGCAAATTATTATTATTAAAAAAAAATTCGCCACGGTTTCAAGATAAGGAGTCAAAGAATTGAAATTCAACCTCGTCTTATCTATATCATCAAATTGTCAATTCCGCCTGTGTAGAGGTGACGGACCCCAAACCGTCAAACTAATGTCTGTAAGTATGGTATGTACTTTGCTCCATCTAAATGCAAAGTACTGTTACAAGATTGGCAGGAGCCTGTACCTGCACTCACTCTTGCGGGTGAACAGCTTGAAGTTGTTGATAAGTTTGTGTATCTGGGTAGTTGTGTGAGTGCTGGCGGAGGGGTGACGGATGAGATTTCCAACCGTATAATGAAGGCTGGGGTGGCATACGTCAACTTCAGCCACCTCTGGCGCCGTCGCGACGTTAGCCTGCCTGTCAAAGGTCGGGTATACAATGCTTCGGTGCGAGCTGTTTTGCTCTACGCCTGTGAAACCTGGCCTCTACGAGCTGAGGATGTGAGGCGACTCTGTGTGTTCGATCACCGCTGTCTGCGCAGGATTGCTTGCGTTCGATGGCATCATCGCGTGAGTAATTCTGAGGTTCGGCGGCGTGTGTTTGAACACAGTGGAGATCACCATTCATTGAGTGTCGTCATCTGGAAACACCAGCTCCGGTGGTTTGGACATGTGCTGCGAATGTCATCCCAGAGGCTTCCGTACAGATCTATGTTCGCTAGCCCTGGAACAGGATAGAAAAGGCGAAGGGGTGGTCAGTCCATGACGTGGCGTCATGGGATGAAGGATATTTGTGCTAGATTAGCATCGGTTGGTGCGTCACGACTCCCTGGTTGGGGTCCGCGAGATAGCTCGAATCGATGGCTCGAAACGTTATGGGATATGGCCAAGAATCGTAATCAATGGCGAACGTGTTGCAATTTCCTTCTTTCTTCCCTTTCCGATGATAGTTGACGAATACTGTTTAAACTTGCTAAGTATGATTGTTTTCCTTCCAGATGAAATTCTTTATCCGTTCTCTACTTATATTTTTTTACTTTTGATCTATTTTGTTTTATTATTATTATGAGGCGTATCTTACTTGGTGCCATACTGTACCAAGTTTTTTCTGCGTTTAATAAATAAATAAATAGTAACGATATGTCTAAGACGGAAATCGTGCGAACCATTGGGGTCCTCGGGACGGTAAACACCAATGGCAATGGCTGGAGACAATTGGTGATATGACTCAAAATCCCCGTTCTCAATGGTTAGTGCAGATGCATCCACTCCTTTTGATTTATAATACCCAATAAAACTATATTGTTTTTCGATATTACTATTCTTTTCGCCTCATATCTCTGTTTACTGTCTCTGTTTTGCATTTCGTTTTACTTTCTTCTCTGGCTTTGTGTGCTGAGTAAAGTGTGGCGACTCGAACTGCTGTACATCGGTACAAAGTTCTATGTTGAAACCAGTCAGTCAGTCATTGCAGTAAACGTACACACAAACTTCACTCCATATATCTAACAGAAGGCTGATTGACTGACTTTCAGAATAGAACATTGCACAGACGTGAACCACTTTAAGTTAGCAAACTCTACGTAGCACAAAAAGGTAGTGGAAAGAGAACCATAAAGAGAAGAAATGTGAGAAAGAAACAGTAGTAACATGAAGCAATACGACGAAGCAATTGATATGGGAAATCGCAAAGAGTGAATGCATCTGCACCAGCCATTGACGACGATTTTAAGCCATATCACAAAATGTCTCCAGCCACTGGTCATTAGTATCCTTAGGACCCCAAGCAGACAGCAGTCTACACTTCCCTACGTGACTGGCTTAAACTAATCGTTATGGATTTCATTGAGTAACGAAGCCACACTAGCTCTCTTCCAGCCTGATCGATCCTATGTTGGTCAGCTAACATTGTTCATCGAGGAAAGCGATAACTAGACACGTATGCGTAACACATGTCCTAACCATCTCATTCAATCGATGTAACCTCACAACCTCATCGACGATTTTCCCTCCCTACCTAGTACTCCACCGATGCCTAACCTGAATATTACTCACCTTATTATATCACCTAACACGGGAGATAGAACGCAGACAACTAGTCAGACAGATAGCCAGCCTTTTCAAATCTTCCATTTTCAATGGTCATGTCTTACTCACAGTAAACTGCTGAGCAGTATACACGTCCTTTGATCGATGGCCAGCCGGATATCACGTCTACGCAACAGATGGCGTAAGTTAGCAAATGCAAAAAAGCCTTCTATATCTGTGCTGAGATTTAGTCAGCGACCAACCCACTGGGGCTGACTCAACTTCCCAAATAAGTGAAATGGTCAACACGCTCTACCACTCCACTCCCTATCTTTAAGCCAAGAGCCGATGTAGTAGTCCAACTTCCAGTGGTCATATCCCACAGCTATAAAAAAAGAACAGAGAGAACTGCTGTTGCCCTAGAAGGACAATAATAAAAAACTTTAGAACTAAAACAATCAATCTAAGACAACATAACCACACAAAAAAACTATTGCCTAAGCTACATATCTTCATTATTTCAAAATATTAAAGCCGGACTTCGCCGATGATAAATGCAAGCGAAAAGCAACAAGTTGGCGATAGAAGAAGCATCAAAGATAGGAAGGAGTTCAGGTGAACATAGAGAAAACAGAGGTGATGAAGATTCCTGGGCAACACCACCAACAGCAACAACAACAGACAACAATCAGCATAAATGGAAGGAATCTGAAAGAAACAACCTCTTTTACCTACATGGGAAGCATCTTTTCAACTACATGCGGAACTGACGAGGATATCAAAGCAAGAATCGGGAAAGCAAGACAAGCTTTCACAACTCTCAAGTCTGTGTGGAGGTCAACAGCACTCAGCATCAAAAATAACATCCGGATTTTCAACTCCAATGTGAAGTCAGTGCTACCATACGGATCAGAGACTTGGCACGTCATAAAGAGCACCTCAAACAAACTACAGACCTTCATTAACAGCTGTCTTCGCTCAATACTCAAGATCAGATGGCCGGCTAGGAAAGATCAGCAACAGGGATCTCTGGGAGCGAACCAACCAGGAACCGATTGTGAAACAAATAGGCAGGAAGAAATGGAGATGGATTGGCCATACTCTGAGGAAACCATCAAGTGACATCACTAGACAAGCCATTGCTCGAGTGGAACCCGAAAGGGAAGCGGCGAGTTGTTCGTCAGTGCAAGGGTGACTTGGAGGAGGTAATGTGAAGAGGAGATGAAAGCGTGTGGGCAGACTTGGAGCCAGGTGAAAACTCTAGCAGAGAACCGAACGCAATGGAGACGCACGGCTGAAGCCCTATGTTCCTTTAGGAATTAAAGGAAACAATAATAATAATAATAATAATAATAATAATAATAATAATAGCCAACAAGAAATCTTTGAAAATAAAAAACTAAGTAAAAGTCTTACCGATTGTTCATTCTCTCGCCCAGTTTTACGTCCTTGAGCTCGACTAATAAGTTCTGTCAGTTTTTGATGTTCCATTTCTAATTCAACTAATCGATTATGCACTGTACATTGTTCTCGGCTAATCTCCTCAAGACGTGATTTATCAAGCAGTGTAGCCATACAATCAGGTAATTTTGACAGTTCATATAGACTGTTTTTATCTTTTGTTAAAAGATCAGGATACCAAGTTTTACAACTTTCTGGTAATAGAGTTTCTAAACGTCTAGACGTGGAAACACAAAAACAGGTAATAATCTGTTAATCTTTAAATAGCCTAAGGAGGATTTTAATTTCGTATTTCAACATTCCCTAATCGCCAGTCGATAGCTGTTATTATCTTGACGTGATGCTGGGTGGTCGGGCTTGCATATCTCAATGACCCATCCCACCAAACACGCTACACTGGCTAGAACCATGATGCCGTTAAAGGTCATTTGGATAGCAGTTAGATTAAAAGCAGTTACCATTATAGTGTGTAGGATGTTTTCAATATGTTGGGGCATCTTTTGATGAAGCCGTACTGCTGGAGAATAGGGACGTGATAGCCTCTGTCTGTCTGTTTTCAACATAGAACTTTGCAACGATGTGCAACAGTTCAAGTCGCCACACTCTATGTAGCACACAATGTAAGAGAAGAATGTAGAAGAAATGCAAAACATAGACAGTAGATAGGAATATGAAACAAAAGGAATAGTAATAACGAAGAACAATATAGCTTCATTGGAAATTATAAGTCACAAGGAGTGGATGCGTCTGCGTCAGCCATTGAGAACGAGGATTTTGAGCCATATCATCAATCGTTTCCAGCCATTGGTTTCTACCGTCTCGAGGACCCCAAACAGGAAGTCTACACCTTCCTACGTGACTGGCTTAAACTAACTGTTGTGGATTTCATCGACTGATGAAGTCATGTTTCGGTTTGACCACAACTCACTAGCTATTTTCCAACCTGATCCATCCTATGTTAGCTAACATTGCCTGTTGTTGAGGAAGGCGATCGCTAGACATACGTAACACATGTCCTAACCATCTCAATCGATGTCACTTCACAGACACGTCTATTGATTTCCCCTCCCACCTACCTAGCACTCGACGCCTAACCTCAATATTGCTCACCCTATTATACCACTTCACACGGGAGATAGAACGCAGGCACCTATGATCAAAGACAAGTAGCCTTCACATTATGTCTTCCACTCTCAATGGACGTAACAGTAGTAAGGCGTTTCCCTTCAGATGACGACCAGCAAGCCAGCTACGCTGCCTCTCCGCCCGGGTAAGAGCCTGAGGACAAGGGTAGGATAGATCGACTCCAAAACTTGTATATCCTGACTTACCTTACGGGAGTCCATAGTCGATGGTAAGATTTGAATACGGATACAACTCCAAAAACCACTTTAAACAGACCACTGGCCACAAGTAGGTATCGTCTCGTTGGGCTCTGCAGTCACCCAAGGTACTCCAGGAAGAAAGCAACCTCCACGGTGTGTACAGCTGTGAAGTAATAACCACACACACTTCCATAAGCACACAAAGCTTCCCTGAGCATTACCCACTATATCCCGTAATCATGTTTAATTGAAGCGTTAGTAGGCAAATTCATATATATCAGTCAGTATTCCATGTTGTGTACAATTTTTTAGTCGTGAAATCGACTGTATACAATAGAAAGACAGATATTACTTTGGCAGAGTAGAGTTGAATTAGATGTATTTTTGCACACACACTTTAGATATTCAAAGGGAATTTCACGCAGGTTAATACGGGAAAACATTTGCGAGTCTGGAATAAAAAAAGAATCTGTTTGCTATCGCTATTATTCTTATCATTGTAAGACTACTCCACACAGTAGGCTGTTAATTACGTCTATTATGCAGTGGTCTCAATACACGAAGTGGAGTGTGGTTCATTGGCAAGTGGCTTCCAGGTCCGAACTCCACCCCACCTACTTTAAAATATGGGCAAGTGATTGAATTCGTCAGCTCCTTTCTGTGACCTGTTAGCTATGCTTTCTTCACTCTTTTGCGTTCCCAATTAAACTTAGGGCTTTAATCCTGAGCTTCAAAGTTTCAACAATAGCGGTATGGTTTTTATCAAGTAGGACTGCTAGCCACACCCACACACACTTAATCTTCTCCTACTTTCCGGGTTTACACTGCCGGCTAAACGAGGTAAAGGAGTTGGTCGACCGACAACGCTCTCTAACTAACTAAATGTATTATCATTCGATTCAACTATTTTTTACTAGTATTTACATTTATTGTGTGAGGGTTAATTATATAACCTAACTGACCATGCTTCAACAAGTGGGGCCAAATGTGAATCCAAGATACACTGGTAGAAATTCTGCTATCTATTACAATTAAGCTAATGTTCGCTGGTGATTTAATCGTAGAATACTCACTAACCACGCACGAGGTCCGGGGTCCGCTTCCCGACTGATTCCCTCCCTCTCTCCTATAAACGGTCTAGTACAGCCAAGGATGGAGAGGGGTGGACTTTGGTCTTTTTGTCCAAATGTTCTGATGTGGCCATAGCTCCTATCAGGTAAGTGGTATTCACTGCCTTCACTCAATGGGCGGGGTGTTCCTCGCAGAAGTGGAAGAGTGAATGCCAACTTCTGGTGCTTACAACCGATGGTCTACCTAGGGGAACTGGGAAACCCTGATTCTAAACTTATCGTGTATAGATACATGGGCTTCAGAATTCAAAGGGATTGAATGGTCACCGGAATCATTTGGCAACGTAGCTCCTGCCGCTGCCCCACTGGTCTTGTAGATTAGACTCCAACTCAAAGGCTCAAGGTGTGGTCTTTTAAGACAACCAACTACTTCGGCCTCAGATTTCAGGTACTATCCAAACCCTCGCACAAAGTTTCATAAGTAATACACCTCACCCGGTCTACAAGCCGGTAGTAAGCCTGGAAAGGAGGGAAGGTTAAGCGTGATGCAGCTAGCAGCTCTACTGAAACGCCAAAGCTTGTAAACTTAATGTTTCACTAGGAACGCAAGGAATGTTAGCTCTCATTTTATTGCCGATATATGGATGATACCTTCATTCTTTGTGACAATGGTTCTGATAGGAGTACAATAATTACTGAATTCAATGAAGTACATTCGGCTATGAAATTCACATGCGAAGAGGAATCCCAAGACAGAATTGCCTTCCTGGATATCCTCCCTACAAGAAAACCAGATGGTAGTATAAAAAGAAATTTGCATAGAAAAAGTACTTGAACAGGACAATACACACATTTTCACAGCTTCGTTCCTCACCAGTACAAAAGAAATTTAGTGAGGACCCTCAGCCACAGGGTTACAACTATATGCTCAGAAGAAGTAATTGAAGATGAATTAAGCACTGTATATGATACTTTGATCGAAAATAGCTATCTCGATAAATTTATCAAGAGACACATGACAAAGAAATCGGAAAAGGACTACTCACTATCTGTAAGCAAGAAGCCACTTTATACATAACTGTAATTCAAGGGCGATATACCAGGTGAAATAATTAAGAGGAAATTACGAAAATCAGTTCAAAGAACTTTTAATGCTGGCGAACTACACGTATTATTCTCTACACGACTGATGGTACTACCTCGACTGAAAGATGAAGTACCTAGACTAGCCACTTGCTCTAATTGTATCTATCAATTCAACTGCACTTGTAATGGAGCGAGTTATATCGGCCGTTGCTCTAGGAACTTGATTTTTCGTGCTTGCTGGATAAGTAAAAGTGTGATGAAAACCATTACCAGTTCGATATTGAACCATCTGGTGCAAACCGGCCACAAAGCCAGCGTGGAAGAATCCTTCTCTATCATCTACCGGGTGACTAATATATTGCAAAAATCATCGAATCACAGCATGCTCTAAACAGCAGAGGCTATTGCGATTCGCCTCAAACAACCAGTGATCTGTGTGCAAAAGAAGCATGTCCAGCTAGCACCTACTACTGCCCTGGTCAGCCTTCAGTAGAGACTAGAAATTCATGAATTTATAATATTATCTTTCCTAATTTTTCTGACATTCAGCTTATTTTGTGTTGATGCTATTGAGCTGTAATCTATCAATATTATTGATTCAATGTTATTTAAACAGCATTAATGTTGTTCATAACACTAATTCATTCATTTACTATTATGTATATATAACTGTACAGCCTGATGATGAACTTATCGAAAAGAGTATTCTTTGTTCAGTATCCATTCTTTTGAAAAAAAATTTTAATGGGCATTTTTAATCAGTTAAAAAAAATGTGCTACTCAGTTTGATTACTTAAGCACGAACTAATTTATGTAAGTAAGTCCAATCAACTATTTACACAGAACAATTTTTATAGTTAAAGATAAAAATTTAAAACTAACTAACTAACTTGATAGCAAGTTTACGACCACATTCATTGGAACAATATTTTGTATCTGGTCTAGCTGCAGGTCGTGTACACCCCGGACCAAAACATTGTCTAGGCTTTTTCAACTCATTCGGTATTGATGATTCAAAGGATTTTTGTGGATTTTTATTCTCATCTGTTGTTTTCACTTTTTCACGTCTACGTCTATTCACTTTTCGACTAGATGATGATGTATGAGCTGTTGTTCTAGCGCCTCCACCCCCACCACCGCCTTGATATCGACTACTATTTTTAGGCCGACCAACAGACTTTGAAGATGTTTTATTCGAAGAGGCGGTAACACGAGTATTTCCAGAAGAAGTATTGTAATGACTTGTTCGGGATAAACTTCCACCAGGTCTACGTTGAGAACGATCACCTCCATGCGAGGAGGAGGTTTTCCGATGTGAACTATAACTACTATTGGTGGTAGTTTTACGTGATGAATGAGTAATCTGTGTTCGAGAGGTACGATTAGAACGCTGAAATGAATTGCCGAAAAAATATATATAAAGAGATAATTATGTATACAAAGAGAAGAAACTATTTAATTGAATTTTAGATTTTCCCATCGATTGATTGGACCGAAGTGCTCGGTCTCAGGTTGACATGTCGGCTTCTTGTACAGATGCTTCGACGATGTCTGGGCATGTAACTAGAATTTAATTGGTGGATGGCGACTAGCAGTGGAATCCACCAGGATGCGCATTTCGTCCTACTGGATAACGCTTTGGCGTTTGAAACTATGGGCACTGGGTTCAAGTCTCGGTTGGGAACATCATCACTCACTGGGGAATGAAGGTACATCCAATTGACGAGTCCCGAATAGGACGAAATGCGCATCCTGGACTCTACTGCTAGTTACCATCCACCAATTAAAGAGAAGAAACGTTTAGCCAGAGTTATTTTTATTAATAAATGAACGTATTTAACCAAAAATTATGTTAAAAAAACATCAACACCTCTTGACTAATCATGGTAAATACCCATCAGGACATTACAGAGAAAAGAACAAGAAATTCAGCAAATTGATATCTATCTTCTCGGCGATTTTATTCTCAAAAGCCGTATGATAGCATTGATATACGTAAGTTTTTTTAAAATTATTTTTATTCTTTACGTTCCCAGTTCAATGTAGGGCTTCAAGATAGAGGCTCGAAGTTTCAGTAGCAATGGTTTTATTTTTACGGGATTGAGTTGCTACCCTCATGCCCGACCTCCCCTCTTTACCAGTCTTATTGCCAGCTTAGTGAGGTACAGGAGTGCATCGGCCGGGGGATCGAACCACAAATCACCTACGTGGTTGGCGGGCATTCTACCACTGTGCACCGACGCACGTGAGTTTACGTAAATACAATTATTATTTAATTCCATATAATAATGGAGGAGGGAGATTAAAGGTGATAATAATTTTCAACTTCATATGAATGTTCGAAGGGGGTGAATATAGATTACAAGAAACCTGAACGTCGAATTAATAAGAAGAGATGATAGAATTTTGAAAAGATCTATCCACAGGAAACCTTCATGGAGAGGCCAACTGGCAAGCTTCTATAATAGTTGGTTACCTGTCAGTTGAAAAACAGCTTTTATCATATCACTGGCCCACAGTATCAGAAGAATTTATAGCGATGACTCTTTAGAAAAAGAGCTTTTATTTATCGAAAATATCCTGGCTCAGAATGGTTACCCGGCACGTTTCATGAAGAACATGAAACCAAATCCAATGAGAGAAGAATGCACTTCAGTATCAAAGAAAACACTGTACTTCAATCCGGACTTCAGGGGAGACTCAATGGCAAACATCCTTAAAAGAAGAATCTCTAGTTTCCTGCACCAGCTATGAACGTGACATCCTCTAACCTCTCACGGCTTCTAAGCAGTGTGAAGGACAAAATTCATGACTTTGGAGTTCCAAAGCTTTAAATATACTCAAAAATCGCCTTTTAAAACCAGCCAGTAAGACGTCTTTTATAAGGATACTCCTATTTACCTTCACTAGCCATAAGTTGTTCTCCATTTCTGTAAAAGATAAGCTCCGTCATCTGGCTGTCTTTATGTGCATCTATAAGTTCAATTGCTTTTGTGAGGCAGTGTAGAACGACCGCAACCACAGAATGCTTTACACACGGATACAAGAGTATATTACAGCATGATTTTATCAACAGGAAAGGAAGAGGTTACAAGGTCTATCCTAGAACACTTAATCAACTCAAATCACTCAATCGCTTGATATTGAACTATGATTATATTCACAAACATTTTATTGTATTTCACATCATTATTCACACTTTTTGCTAATCTATATGTATACATATATGTACGAATGTACAGCTTTGGTAATAAATTCCTCGAAAAGTCTCTTCACACTGAATGCTGTCTTCCTGAAGCTGTAGTAAGTTAAGAACTGAATACGCTACTTCTCCAAACTAGTCGAAATAAACTAAAAAAGCATGTTAAGCCGCAGTTATATTTTTTCTAATGAATGTGAAACTATAACAAACATGGTACTGACTACTACTTTTATGCATGACATTGTAGCGTAAATATCTTGACAACGATAATCACTTAAAAGACAGGAAATAACCATTAGGTCCTGAAGAAAATAAAAGACAATTCAGCGAAGCAAGTTTTCTTTGCTGACGAAATCATCTTCAGAGGTTGTACAGTCGTATTTATATTTACCAAAAACCTATAGTAGTTGATTACCGGGTAACAGTGTATGACATAACTGATACAATTAGCCAGTAGTTTCTAAAATAAGAAAATACGCAATAGTCAACGACACAATGGGAGAAAGGATTTGAAATTTGATAGGGTGAGCAGTGTTATTCGATGAAAAGCAATTTAGTTTAGTGTCTACTTGAAAAGTGTGATGACAGTCAGAAAATTATTTAGATTATGAGATTTTGTAGGAATCTGGACTAATTCCAACGTAGATCTCACCACGAACCAACCTGCATTAGAAATCATTAAAAACCAGGGAACGCTGGACAGAGTCCCAAACTAGTGCTGTTCAGTAGCCCCTGGTTTTCAATGATCTCGAATTTATGTTGGTTCATGAAAACACGGTTACGGCCATCAAAGTAAAAGAAAAATTTCGAAAATTTACTTACCTTTCTGTCATGATCAGAAGCGACCCAATCTTCGTCTTCTTCATCATCATCATCGTCAATATCATCTTCAACATCCACATCATCGTCACTATCTAAATCGCTGAGGTCATCCTCATCGTTATCTCCTAAGTTAGCATAGTTTCGATGTCCATTGGGTATAGAGCGGTTAGATGGTAACCAATCGTCAGAAAAATTAGATTCTTTATTATTTTTTGTATTAAATTCGCCACGTTGACCATTTCTCTGTTTATAGGACGTCAGTGAATCACGAGAATTATTCTTAGTGAGACCTTTTATATCTCTTGTTGTTGTTGTGCTATCGTCCCATCCACGTGAAAAATCTGTCCTGCTTGAAGAGTTTTTCTCAAAAGTATACCTTTGACTCATTATGTTGAATGACCAGTTGCAGAAAAACAATTACATTTTATTCTATAAGAACAAAAAGACATAGTATTAAGTAAAATGAGTGATAGTATTTTGGTAACTTTGTACATTCTTTCTTTCAGTATTCAACTACGTTATACTATCCCCTGGAACTACGGCTCATTGGTCTAGGCGCTCGATACGCAAGTTCCAAACCCTGTCTAACTATTGAGGTCTGTGTAGTCAGACAGTATCCCTAGGCATCACACAATAGGTGTAGTTTACTGCCAGCTGCATGGAATCTATTAAAACGTCTTCACATCATGCAACAATTTATCCCAACAATGACAAAGAAATAGATACCATTTTATGGCATACTCCAGTGTCTAAACTGGTCAAGCAAACGGAGTTTCGTGAGAGTTATCTGTGGATAAGTCCATAAGTGCTTCATACTTAAAAATGTTAGCCAGACTAAAGTATGGTGATTAAAAATATCCAGAACATAGATTGTCATTTTATAAAATATAGTGATGTAGGTAGACTAGCAACCAAATGACCTAGGATAACCAAAAAATTTTGTGGATAGCAAGCTCTAAAGGCGACAAATTGAGCACACCAAAAATAATCATACAGAATAGCAACTTCCAGTAAGTATTAGAAGTGTGTCCGGACTTGACATTGGATTTATCAGCATTAGTTCAAACCCCTTTGGCACATGAAGTCATTGAAACGATGGTATGTCGTGACTATGGTCAATTGTAATTTATCGTTGCTATACTGTTTCTCAAACGCTCCAATAATCCCTTCATCGAATTCATATATCCCATAGGACAGATCAACGAAATCAAGAGAATGGCTGAGCGTTGTGATTTTTCTGCAAAGTCATCCATTTGGTTGGTCGTTCGCTAGGGTAACCAAGATTCCTACTTCAAACATCGATCAAACCATTTATGAGCACTTCAGTCTTAAAAACAACTAATATATGATTCATAGTAAGGTACTGGTGAGAAAATGAGGTAAAAATACTGATTAATTTTCTATGTTGAATTTTTCCCGGTAAAATGAATTAAGCCGATGTTATCCTGTCACTAGTAATATTTTCCTTTAAAAAGGTATGTGCTAAAACTTACTTAACCAGAGGTGGCTAAATTTATCCTGGAAAACGCTTATTAACATCTGTACTACAAAATATAGCTATCAGCCTATGAGCTGCCAGCTAGCATTTTATTCGGCAGCTGCCATTCTACCCAACGCAGGCTAAGACATTCATTAATACCAAGTCTCAACAGTTACTGTTCCTCTTTGGGATATTTTCATGAAAAGAATAAGAAAGGACATCGTTCAACACTTTGTCTATTCAGGCTTTTGTGCATTTACGTTTCTTACATCTACATTTTGTAACGCATAGTTTGCATTTCGCGCACAGTTGTATCAAGATTCAGATTTATTGGTTGAGGATAGAAGGCTTGGATCATATGTAGACCCTTCTCTAGTAAATTTCTGTGGTTTTCCAAAACCTTATTGAATGAATCAGTTGAGGTTCCAGACACCATGTCTTCTGGTAGTTGGTTCCAAGAGTTTATGACTCCCCGTGAGAACCAGCACTCAACAGCTATATGATTTCTTCTTGGCTTTTGAACTCTCCTGCTATGTCCTCTAAGGTGTTCCGACCTGTTGGGAAGGAAAAGAGGGAATAGGTCAGGTTCGTAGTCATTATTTTAAATTTTAAACATTGTGATTAAATCTCCTCTCTGCCTACGGTATGACAGGGAGAAGAGATTTAAACTGTCTAGTCTTTCCTCGTATGCCGAGAACCATACGTGTTGCCTTCCTTTGAACCCTTTCTAGACTGTGTGAGTCCCCTTTAGGACAAAGATTGGCTGCCTGGATACAGTTTTTTAGTCTTGACCTCACCAAAGATATATATAAGGAGGTGAACATATCTCTGGTGATTCTAGTGAAGGCTTTGTGAATTGCCCTTAAGGATCTGAAACTACGTGCAGCCACCGCGTGACAGTGTGCTGTAGTTTCTAAATCGTGGCTAACTACGACACCTAAGTTCAAGTGAGTCTGAACTGATGGAAGTGTTATTCCCTCTAGTTCGTAGGAGCTGATGCACATGGTTGCAAATTTCGGCACATTGATAGGAAGCATCCATTCCATGGACCTTCTGACAATTTGCATAGGTCCTCTCGCAGCGCAGACGTATCACTGTTGCCCTTCAGCTCTCTCCAAATTTTTAAGTCACCTGCGTATAGGACCATAGGGGAATCGGTGAGCAGAGATAACTCATTGATATACAAAATAAACAAGAGAGCTCCGAGTACCGTGCCTTGTAGCACTCTGCTACGCACTGCTACCCAGGGGGAGAGGTTCGAGTTGATCCTAACCCCCTGCTTCCTATCTATGAGAAATTCCTTGAGCCAGTTTAGTATTCTGCCTTCGATACCAAGAATTTCCGAATTCATGAGTAGTCTTTTGCGAGGTACTTTATCAAAGGCTTTGCTGAGGTCTATGAAGACGACGTCAACGGGTCTTCTGTTGTCCCTTGATTTAACCCAGCTTTCTCTTGCAGTGAGGAGATTTGACAGGTATGAGAGGTTTCTGATTTTATTTTTTATTTATTTTATTTTTGATTACAGCTTGATGCCATATCGTATTTTCAGTACAAATCTGGAATTTTCAGCATGGATATCGGTAGCCCAAATTTTGCAGGCCAACCACAGATTTCGGGTGTGCGTCGGCAGGGGATCGAACCCCGGACCATGTGCATGGTCGGCGAGAGTCCTAACCACTGTGCCATGCTGTGCTCTGGATAGCATTTTGTTGTTTTTCAGATATACCGTGGTGCTTTTCTTGATGATTCTTTCCAGTGTATTGATTAAAGTGCTGGCGAGACTAATAGGCCTGTAATTTAAAAGGCTTTGTCTTGATCCTATTTTGTGGATGGGTGGTTACTATGGCGTCTTTCCAGTAATGCAGTAACACTCTATTTAGGAGAGCGAGCTTGAAGATTGTGGTCAGGGGGCCGGTTGTGTGAGCTGATAGCTCCTTAAGAAACCTTGGATGAAGATTGTCAGGACCCACTGATTTCCCTGCATCTAGTTTCATTAGGCAGTTGAGCACGATACCTTGGTCAGTGTCAACGGAATCTATCCCGTATTCCTCTGATGTAGCCAGAGCTGATCCTATAGGGAGTGATGACTCCTGTGTAAAGACTTTGGAGAAGTAGTCTACCATTACTTCTGCTTTTTCTTGATCTTCTTCTAATGTGTCATTGTGAATAGCCAGGTTTGGGACACCATTGGATGTTTTATTCCTGAGGTTCATGTACGAGAAAATTTTCTTCGGTTATTCCTTTGCATTTTGAGCGAGATGTGCTTCGAACTTTATCCTTGACTGGTGAATTTCCGCAATAGCTTTATTCCTAGCAGTGTTATATAGTTTCCTGGTCTCAGGAGTCTCAAGTGAGGCAAACAGGTTCCAACATTTGTGTTTACGTCTGAGTAACTTACGAATCGCCCGGTTTATCCAAGGGGGGCAATTTTTCCGACCCTTTGGGAGAGACCAAGGGATAAAAGGTTCAGTTACTTGGTCGTAAAGCTGTCTGAGTTGGTTCCATGTGGCTTCTACCTGGGACTCTGGGTTGATGCACCAGTTCACTGAGTTTGGCTGATGAGACGATCGCATTTATATCAGCTTTCCAAACGTTTGTTCGAGCTGGAGTTTTGGCCCTTGTTGCTGTTGCTTTGAACTTGAAAGTGAGCACAGCATAAATAAATAAATAAATTTATTCTCATAGTACAGTACATGAGGGACACCAGTTTACAGGCATCATCAAATTGTTACAGAAATAGAACCATATAATTCAATCACAATTTACAGGCAGTAGCAAGATATGCTTTACATGTTCGCTGGAGATTATACATACACTTGATAAATGTTAATCCCAGTAGTATAAAACAGCCTTCTCACTTATATACAATCATTTCTGTGCAAAGTTGGAAAAATCTGCTAGATTGTCAGTGAGTGCAACACAACAGGAAATACAGGAGTATTGTCTTCGCATTAACAAAAAAAACCAGGTCTTTGGTGGATGGATTAAAAGTGCCTGGGAAAAAAATAAAGCTTGAAGTGAATATTCATACATAACTTTGTTGTGTGCAGAGTCCTCACTTCTTCCTAAAGGAGGAAGATGTATGAGATCGACATCTTCACCGTGGGAGAACACCGGCTCCAGAGTTGAAGAGGTGTGCTGTGAGTCATAGCTCGTGGGCTTAATGACATGTTGGGCTAGGGCTAGCGATATACTAGATTCCAGCAGTTTGTGATCACAGGAGTCCACTGAAGGTGGAGTTGTAAGGCTCGCCCACTCAACTGTTGGGGCGTTGAAGTCACCGATCACGAGACTCAGACATTTCGAAGTCCAGGAGCCTAGGATCTCTAGCAGGAAGTCATCTGTTCTGCAGTCAGGACTGTGATATATAGCAATGAGGTCAATGTCTTGGCCTATGCATTTAAGTCTGCAGCGTAGAAGTTCGCACGATTCACTTTCGTGAGTGAGTGCTTCGATGTTACGCACAGTTAAGCATTTCTTGAGGTAGATGACTCCGTCACCTCCTTTGCGGTTTATTTGGTTCACCCTATGCACTTAAAAGTTTGGCAGATTAACTTCGTTGCCAGTGACACCGGGTGTGAGCCATATCTCTGTGATGATAATTATATTAACCAGCTCAATCCGTTTGTTCAACTGGCTGTGGGCGTTTGTGTAGCAAACTGTCAATTCAGTTTGGTGCTTCCACGGCCTATCCACGGAGGTTTCGGGGTATCAAACTGCCAACTTTGACAACGCGAAAACCCTTAATCTTGAGGTTCTTTTCGCCGTTTTGACGTCGTTCACTTAATTCTACGGCCGCAGACTGTCTTTTGACACGGTCTGATAGGCATAAGTCGACACGGACATATATGCCTGATCCTTTAAGAATTTGAGAGTTGCTTAGAATGACATCCCTCTGTTCTTTGGAGTCTAGTAAAACTTTAAGGAGATGTACAGGCTGATTTACTGTAGGGACAGGTTTTTGGCCGATTCTATATACGCTGTGTATTGTTATGCCTGATACTGGATGTGGCAGTAGCTTACCCAAAAGGGGCTTGACCAAGCTAAGGTCATGTTCAAATCTGGCCTCAGGATCAGAGGCCAACCATAACAGCACAAGAGCGACTGCCATTCGAAGGAAGATAAAAATGTACCAAGCAGTAGTAACATGTAGAACAAAATGACTAGTGAATCACTTTACATACACATAAATGACAGAATACAACATTCATCCATAAGCGGTGGGCGTTTACATTAAATTAAACAATAATCACGAAAGATAGGTCGGATCACGCTGATTGGTGGATTATCACATGTCTGTCCGTCACCATTAATAACAAAGTAAGGTCATATTGATTGTTGTACTGTCTACTTGTTGTGATTAACATTTTCTTATTCCTCACCGCTAGTCATACTTCAGCATATTTCAAGCGCACATGACCTTTCTTATGAAGTTATCTGTTTCCTAATTACAAGAATATCACATTGGTAAAACAGCGACAGGTACAATAAAGTGGACGCATGTTGAGAAATATTATTGCCTGAAGACATGTGTTCATATCTACACAGACATAAACACACAGACGTGTATTATGAAGATAAGATGCGTTTTCAAGTACAAAATTATCCCATGGTGGCAAGCGTTCACAAATAGTTCATTCAAAAAGTCACATATCAGTCGAAATGATAATCAAGGCTAAGTTTGAGTGGGATATCATACCTGCGTGACCTGACAATCACTCTAACAGGGTATTAGATAAACTAAATTGTTTCGTTTGCTTGGCTGCACAAGATACTATACCTGACAAAGCTTATTTCTAATCGAGTTTGTGGGTTTAAATGGTAGCCACTTTTACTCCCGCACTGTTACGTATGCTCCGTAATGTGGTTTCCGAGGTTGCTTCTTTGAATGGAAGTACTACTGATGATTTCAATTCCCTGTTGTTGCTGTTGTCATTATCCTGTGCATGTTTGACATGCATGTCTACATCAATATTATTTTTATCATTAATATCACTATCACTACTATTATTGTTTATTTTATTTTTACGTTTGCCTACATACCTTCTGACTAATTTATCAGGGTAATTATTAAGTTCCAAGGCTTCTCTTATATGTCTCACTTCCTGTCTTAGATTTTCCTTGGTAATACTTATTTTTTGTGCTCTGTTACTTAAACACTTCGCCAATCCTATTTTCACTGACATAGGATGAGATGATTGGAAGTCCAAATATGTCTGAATGTGTGGGTTTCCTGCGAGCACTAGTGTTTAACATCCATCTTCTTTCCTTTTTACACTGCAATCCAACACTGGAAGCTCCCCTTCCCGACTTTCCAATTCATAAGTGAACTGAATTTCCTCCACCACTGGTTTGATGTGTTCGAAAAAACTATTTATATTCTGTATTCTAAGCACAGGGGATGTGTCACCTTCACACCTCCACCATACTTCTGTGGTGAGGCTGACTGAATGTTTCAGTCGCTAAGGTTTCCCACCTATCCATAAATATATCTGCCACGACGGGGGATTTACCTCAAGAACTCTTGGTTTATAAAGTGGTCTCGAAAACTATGAGCGTTGTGACAGGCTAAGATTAGAACCACTCTGGAAAAGACGTCTTAAGCTAAACCTTATTTTTACTACAAGTTAACTAATCTTCTCTTACACCCCTCCGAGCCAATAACTAAACCTACTGCTGTCATCAGTTACAACCTAAGAAATCATCACAACCTCGTTACTATAGAGCATTGTCAGACTCACATACGGCATAACTTCTTCTGAAATAAGTTTTCAGTCATTTGGAATAGACTACCAGCTGATGTGCGTGATGCAAACGCAGTTCCGGTGTTCATCTCCTCAGTCACCAGACTGCTCAAAGATAACAATGCACTTCTGCGTCTAACTCTTACACCCTCTTTTTCACCCCACGGAGATATTTTAAGTTCATTAAACGTGTAAGTTACAACGAACTACAGTTATAAATTTTAATGTTATTGTAAGTACATGATCAACAACGATATTAGTTCACACATAATATAAAAGTTAGCATAACAAGACTAGTTAGTTAGTGTACCAAAATAATCATAGTTACTACACAGAACATATATATATGTATATAAATTTATTAAGCACTTCTTGAGGACTCCATTTGCTTTCTTTTGTGCTGCTGTCTATTGTCTTCTTTTCTCTCTCACCATTTTAGCTTCTATATGACTGTTTGAACGAGAATGAAGAATGTTGATATTTCACCACTCACAATGACAAATGATCTGCAAACATTATTGTTCCCATATCTTACAATTCCATCGTGAATTGCACATTACCTTTCCCCACGACGCAACCTGGATTACAGTTGTGGAATATACCTTTGTACCAATGAAAAAGTATTAATTTATAATACTTCACGATTGTAATTTATAACATAACTGATCGTGCCTGTAAAATTAGCTTGCATTTCTTGTAAACACTCGTTTATAAGAAAATATAAACTATTATTATTAGTCTACATTGAGTACAACTCACCTGTGATGTTACGATGACAATGTTGACAAAACTATACAAGTGTATCATTTATTTTAAATTATTACCAAATTTGGATACAAATCAAGAATAAGACTCGATGCCGTACACACCAAAGTTATATGGAGGAATTACTTCAAGTTTTATTTTTTTCTCAAGTATTTGTACTCCATTTAAAACATACTCGTGTTGTTTTGTCAATGCGGAGAGAATATTTCCTACATTTCTTGATGTGCTCCATTGAATGACTAGTTATCATATTGTTCCCACTAACCAAAGACAAAAACGACAGCAACCATGTAATTTTGCCATAAACCAAATTTATGTAATTTAAATAATACTTATCCATGCCTGTACAATTGGTGTGTTCTACACAGGTAGGAAAAATTTATATTTGATTGAATTATTATTATTAACTATGCTTACTAGTCGTATATGTAATTTATCGTATTGATGATGCCCGTAAACTGGCATCCCTCTTGTACAAAAGTGAGAATATGTAATTATTACTAGTAGTGACCCCATGGCAACTTACTCGGGTTCTTTGTATATTTTCCCCTGAAATTTAAACACTGTGGAAGTCAGGCATAGCTGCACTCCAAGCATTATGTCCTCCAGTGGCACTTTCTTTCTAAGTTCGAGTTCTTGGTCAGAAATGGGTTCGTTTCTGACTGCCTCTATAGGCTGGGAAAGCAAATAACTGGGTAAGATGAGAGCGGCTTATGACTTGCTTCTTACGGTCATGATCTAGCCTGGAGAGTGAATAGAGAAAAGAATCGTCACACATAACCGAGGAAATAATCTTAGAACCGCCTCCAAATCCCGAACCTGGTAGGGTTGCGAGCCCAGAAGAGCTCCTGATGTTGACAGTATTCCTCAAAACCCCAAATGAGTTGTCGGTGTTGTCTCGTCTGTCACTGGGCCAGTACAACTATTGTTATTGCATTACCACTGAAAAAAAATCTGAAGCGCTTTCAGCATACTGAAGGTGACGAAACTTAGTTGACTAACATCATGGATACAGTGGTGCTCATCCTCGTTCGACCTACTATTCCTCTGATAATGGAAAGGTGCACTATCGAAGGTTGGGTTAGTATTTCTGGGAGTGTTTAGCTCTTTGAATTTCGCAAGGCCTTTGAGAAACCTTCATATGGAGGCTTGTGGTAAAGTTAAGGGGTTTCGTGGTAGATAACATAGTAAGATATTGGATCAAGAGCTCTCTGGTGAGCTGAATATGATATAGATTTTTTCCGGAGTTTGGTGAGGCGTGACCAACTTCAAGTTGCAGGTTTGTGTCACCATAAATTTAGTATCAGTCCTGATGCTTAACGATGCTTTGGGAGATGATCCATAGAAAATGGTATCAGGAAGGGTAAACGTCTGTATATTGTTCATTACAGTCTTCATTCGCTTTACTTTATCATCTCGTATATTGATCTAGGTAGGGTTTTTGAGTAATGGTTATTTAAGAAAACGGTGGAGTAGAAATTATCAGAAGTTTAGAAATCTTACTGGATATGCTTTAGACTTTTACATGTGTTAATATAAACATGTTTCGGGTAGTATACCAGACTATATCAGGCCTCAGTTCGAATATGTCAACTAAACGATAAGCATGAGGCAGATATGTTAAAAATAGTTCAAAGAGTTTGAATCGGAATGGCCACCCTGCTGTTAAATTTATCGTTATGACATAGGTTGGATATTTCTGATTTCTTTGCACTGTGATATCAGAAATTTGTTGTTATATTTTCTATTCCGCTTGCAGTAATTTTAGTGCCATCTTATTTCACTTGGAAAGACATTAATTCGGAGTTAGAAAATAGTTCTGAACTTTTCTTAGTATTGAGCTTCACTTCTTGCATCAAACTACACCAGAGCAATTATGTGGTTTATGATTTTCATCAGTGAAGATTGAAACTGATTGACCTAACCCGGGAATAAAAAACTTCAAGGTCATGCCTGATGGTCCGACGAATAAAGTGTACGTTCATACTGTATTTAATTGAGTTATTAGTCTTATCTGTGGGGATGTTAAAGGGAAGGTGAAAGCATTGTTTTCAAGAGTTCTAAAAATTATGGCTACAGCTGGACAATTTGATGTAAGTTGTTCAGGCAAATTGGTCCAACAAATGTTTTGTAAATTCAGATGATGTTTTGTTTGGGAGACTTTTTCGGAAATAATATTGAAGAAGTAGAAGGGCTGATTGATGGAAACATTGCGGGTACTATTTGCTTTCTTCTTATTTTCAGTGCCCCTTCCAACATACATTGTGTCTCCACTTACAGAATCTGCCCGCAAATTTTGTGATCAAGAATCTGGTTGTAAACTTTGCAGCAACCTCACATATTTAGGTGAGTATGATTTCTTACTTATTGCTTTTAGGTTCTAAGGGTACGTACACTACGATGACTGGTCTACGTGTGGTGTACATGGCCGAGCGAGAGGTCAATTCTGATAGTTCCAGCCTACCACCCAGTTTACTCAGCGAAGCTCTTGCAGCAGAAGACTATGGATTTCTGGGTGTTGATCTTCTGCTCACCTGTCAGTGGCCAAAACACATAGATAACTGCATAATTGGTCAGTTCCCCGATACTTGTCAACCTTGCCTTGACGCTGCCTCTATGTCGATTTCTCGACTTGCTTTCCTTACTCGTCCACGGTACCACTTTTCGTGTGGCAATGGTGTATACTACGAAAGGTCACCATACAGGTATTCAGTTACATTTAAAACTTGTTATGTTATTCAGCCACATAAAACTTGATCGCCCAGTATTTCTATGACTAATATACACTGAAACTATTCTTGTGCATTCCCCCACTCTTATGATACCACTTAGTTCCCAGGATTAGTGTGAACGGGACGTCTGTAAGCATACCTGAGAAGTGTAAACAAAGCACCCACTTGGTTTCAATAACTTTATTTTCTTAGTGGATCATAGTTTTTGGTATCTGAGCTGTCACAACGGAAATTGCCTACTTAGCCAACTCATCAGTAAAGAGTAATTCAGAAACGAAGCAAAATGAAACATTACTGAACAGCAGTTTGGATTTAAATGCATTTGGTAATAAGTACATATTGTATAAAGTCTGTTTATACCATCCATTCGGGCATCCCTTTGTACGTGGGGCGGGGTTCTGACGATTAACTTAGTTGTCGCACGCTATTTTTACAAGCTAATGAGGCAAATTTATACTCTGCTTCGAAATATATTTGTTTATTCCATATAAATACGTAAATTCCCATGAAAAGTCTGGCATTTTCACAGTTACTGTCAAATGTGGTACAATTGCAAATCTTGAAGTGTCGATAAATTATTATTGTTGTTTCGATAGTTTAAATAGTTGATTTGTAATATAAGCTATCAGGACAGGATTATGTAGATGTTAATTTGTAAAACTGTCGTGAAGACTGATCGGACAACCCGAATTTTGTCTCGTTTGTTATGGGTGATTGTACTCCACCGATAACCAACAAATATTCATGTAAATACTACAACCACACGTAATTGGAATCTATTTCAGGAGGAGAAAAGTGTTCTAGGAAACAGTAAGGTAGGATAGAAATAAATAAAGTTAGTATATTATACATACAGAATGAGTTGTTACTGCGATCAATAAGAGACGAGAGAATTGAAGAATACTTGAAGTTTGACTGATGACATTGTAGTTATAATGTGAATAATAGTGATTCAGACTATTTCGTTCCCGGTTAAGTTAGATGTCGTTTGTTATTTCATCGCTTATTTGTCATGATAATCAGCTGAGAGTCACTGAGTTTCAAATACATGCTGTAGATAGTAATAACATTGCATCTAGCCTCCTGAATGTGGTTTACTGGACCGTTTGAGAATCGATATGATTTTGCGGGTTCCTTGACTCTTACTGTAATTACCTTTAACTTGTATTTATTGATTTACTAGAGTCGGTCCTTAATACGAGTAGACTGTATATACGGAAACATAAGATAATACATAGTATGTTTCCTGTCTAAGCTTTGAAGTTCCTGTAGTGATTGGGTTGGTTTTCCGGGGTAGGGTCGCTAATCCTATGCCCCATGGCTTCTCTCCACACTGAAAATCATATGGCCAGAATGGACTAGCAACGAAGAAGAACCCTGACAGTGAAGCAACCAAGCATATGCTGCCCAACAAATAGGCAGAAGGAAATGGAGATGGTTTGGACATACGCCAAGAAGACCTTCGAGTAACATTATGCGCCGTGTTCGAGGGTGACATGGAGGAGAATGTGGAAGAAGGAAATGACAGTTTATAAACGATCGTGAGGCCAGCAAAAAAGACTACAAAGAACTGGATTAAATGGAGGTGTGCTGTTAGGGTCCTACATTCCGCTTAGAATCCAGGGGTATAATAATAATGTCTTTGTTGAATACTTTATCGCATGGAGGATTTCATCATGAGCTGACATCAGGTAGAGAACCACTGGAAAACCTGGGAGTACTGGACAGCCAGCTGTTTCGTCCTAGTTTGGGAATCTTCATCAGTACCCACCCACTGCTAGGGTTTGAACCCAGGACCTTCTGGTTACAAGACTGGCGAGCTCGTAGACCAATGAGCCACTGATGTCAGCTCATGATGAAATCTTCCATGCAATCAAACAAAATCCCTACAAAACCAATACTTGAAAATTAATTTGATGCTCACCAGCGACTAGCCCTATTCACGTAAAGTTATCTGGGGTTCTAGTGAGAAGTCGTGACCAGTAGGGTACAGTTGGTTGAAGATGAGGCAGTAACTCATCGAAGAAAACATTGCGAATTGGTCGTGAATTGACAGAAGTTAGAATTCAAGGACCATTGGGTCGGGTCCCAGTGGCTCAATGGTCTACGAGCTCACTGGCCTTGTAACCAGAAGGTCCTGGGTTCGAACCCTGATAGTGGGTGCGTACCGCTGGGGAGTCCCAAACTAGCACTAAACAGCTGTCCAGTAGTCCCAGGTTTTGCAGTGGTTCTCTAACTCATGATGGAATCCTCCATGCAATCAAACAAAATCTCTACAAAACCAATACTTGAAGACTACTTTATTGACGCAGAAGAAGAAGACGAAGATTACTCGATGTGTCATCTAGATAGTGTGCAAGTCTTCAGCAGGAACAGAAGTTTAAGCTTTGGAAATGAGAACAGTTAAATATGAGTAACACCACTAGTAATCACGTGAACTGGTCGATCTTTCTAAGCTCCCAAAAGCATTGTTTATTTTTTTGAAGCAAGAATAAGGGAAAGTCGTATTTCGGATACATCACTGTGTGATTTATTTTCATAAATAAAGTAAGACCTAGTTACTACTTAGTGAATCATTTAGAAAAATTATTGTCGCTGAACTAAGTATTTGCTTTTTTTAATCTAGCAGTTTCCTTTGAAGACAATGTTTAATTCTTTACAGCAATTAGCTTCCCACCTGAGTTATATTACATCCTTGTAATCGACTTGTTATTGTTTTGATAACTTTAAGTTAAAAAACTTTAATTTTGGCTTTTTTTTTCTTTCTAGAAATCATCGTGTATTACAAGAGAAAGCGTGTCATACTACACGTTTTATAGCTTTGGCTGATGTGAAAAATCCTCTTAACCAAAAGGTACAAATATTTTTTTTCTTTAAAAATTCCATTTATTCATATTTTTGTTCATAGTATTTGTATGCTCTAAAGTTGACGCCTATCGATAAAATGGATCATCTAGACTTGATTAATCAACCACCGGATGTAACCGAGAATCCATATCTTGGAGTTATTGATCGGGAACCTGTAGCAGATAAAGAAACAGTAAGTTAAACTGTTTTTTTTTTTAATTCCTTCACGTTCCCAGTGGAGCATAGGGCTTCAAGCTAGAGTCTTGAAGTTTCTGTAGCAGTGTTTATTTTTACAGGATGGGGTTGCTAGCCTCATACCCAACCTTTCCTCTTCGCCGGCTTTATTTCTGGCTTAGTGAGGTAAAGGAGTGCACCGGCCGGGGATCGAACCCCGGACCAGGTGAGAGTTAAGCTGTAATCTAACTAAGTGCATGCATTTTTTCATCTTTTGATTGATTGGTGATTAGCAATGGAGTCCACCAAGACGCGCACTTCATCCTGCTTGGGATTCATCATCTCGATACAGTTGCATTCTAAGTGAGTAGTGTCCCCACTGGGATTTGGAACCTGCACCCATCGTTCCAAATGCCAGAACACTACTTACGACGGCCAATCAACGGGAATTACAAGATTAACCTGAAAACAAATAATATCTGATACCCGTTGGAAAAGAGATGACTCTCGTGACCTCCATTTCCTCGTGGATGATGCTTTGACGCTTGAAACGACAGATGGTGCGCTCAAGTCTCAGTGAGAACGCCGTCACTCACTGGGGATTGAAGGTACATCCAACTGACTAGTCCCAAATAGGACAAAATGCCCATCCTAGTGGATTCCACTGCTTGTCACGGCCAATAAGAAACAACTTCAGTTAAAATCCTTAAATGTTGTCTAAGCGTCCGTACTAGACGCCGACATTTCAACAGAGACTTAGTGTTTCGGTACAACACAATCAATCAATGTATAATTAACCTGAAAGTGTTCTAATTTGTTATATACGTGCTTGGGTGGTAACAAGAATGATTGATATCCTGTTTTTTCGTATCTATCAGTTTGCATTTTTTGTTTTTTTGACGTCAATGAAGTTAATGTTATCCCAAATATAAGGGTTCCTTTTGTCCCACAGTATGTAGTTATGCTCTATGATGGAATCATACGAACTAAAGAGGAAAAAAGTGTCATTTTGTTGTTATCCAGCCTCAGCATCTTTAGGATGGATAAGTTGCCAATCTTGTCATAAAGCTTCTAGTTTCTATTCGCTTACTGTGTGTAACTGTTGTATGGCAAGTACGACTAACTGATTAACTTTACAGTGTGGAGCACTGCACTGACTGCCACACATAACAGTAGAGAAAAGGAAAGTAGTGAAAACTACAAATGACTAAAAGAGGTGTAAAGGAGGAGAGTATAATTCAGTGAAGGGTGATAAATATTTTCGAAATTTAGATGATGAAAGGGTTGTGAGTAGTAAAATAGTAATAAAGTAGGTTGTAATGCTTAATGCGTCATGCCTAGCAGCTTATTCTTGTGAAAAACGAGTGATAGTCATACGAAGATATAACTGGTGTTTTCTGATAATCCGATCAAATTAACTGCAAGGTATATGATAAATAGGCAAGAATCGATCATGGTTCTGCTCTGTGAAGAGGATGTTTGTTTATTATTGTTTTCGGTTCCGAGTGGAACATACAGCTTCAGCAGTCCATCTCCATTTAGCTGTCCCTAGTAGTCGATTCTAGTTGGCTTCACGGTTATCCGTAGGCTTTCATTTTCTTCTCAAACGATTTCTTCTATGTCACCTTCGAACTCACACACAACTTGTTATTTTCCTTTTGAGCTCCACTCGAGTAGTGTGACCTAGCGCGTGGTGTGTTTGCGTGGTGATGTTGATGAAAGTCTACAGTAGCCTATTGGAAATGCTTTTCGTGACGCCTTTAGGAGGGAAATCTATGGGGAGGGGGGAGAAAAGGTGAGGACTAAATCTGGGATATACTATAGCTGAATGAATCTTCGCTATTGAGAACGATTTTGGGCCATGTCACTAATAGTCTCCAGCCATTGGTTCTAATAGCGTGCTGAGGTCTGCAATCAGGCAGTCTACAATTCCTTGCGTGGATCAAAACAACAGCCAAAGGATTTGAATTCTGCTTCAGGTGGTATGATTAGTCCTGCCACAATGGGAGGTGTGGTCTATTACCGACTCTATCGTCGGTGGTTCAGCGGTAGGACGATCACCGACCATGCACGTGATCCGGGGTCCGATCTTCGGCCGACGCACGCCTAAACCTCCCTAAGCTGGTAGTAAATCCGATGAAAAGGGGAGGTTGGGCTTGATGCCAACAACTCTACTGCGTAAAAGTAAAACCGCTGTTACCATGGTTGTGAATGGCTAATGAGTTCGCCTCATAACCTGAAGATCCTTGGCTCCATCCCTGGTAGGGGGTCATAGATGCATACACGTTTTAGTTATTGATTTTAACTTCTTGTTGCTAACTTTGTTTAAATCTTTGTTTTGTTTTTCTATTTATTTATTTTTTTGCATAAAATATTAGGAGGTTCAAACAGACCAATACTTTTATAACTTAGATGCTAAGAAAGAACCATACATTCCTAGAAAGAAAGGCTTTTCACAAAAGCGTAGAATGAACAGTAGTGTTTCAGACGAAACAGCTCTTATCAAACGTTTTTCGAATGATGGAGAAGATACTAGTCAAGAAGGTTTTCAAGAAAAAATTGACAGTAAGTTAGACACGCACACATTACGTATACATACGTGTTCATTGTGACGCTTGCTATTCTTTTCATTCCGTTGAGTTCTGAGTGGGTTTCAAGTCTTAGTAGCGATGGTATTGTTAGCCTCACGTTCAGCCTCTTCTCTTTTCCTTGCTTACTACTGGCTAACGGAAGTTTAGGAGTGCGTCCGTCGTTCAAGAATCAAACGATGGGCCACGTGCATCCGGGTTGCTGAACAGTCTGCCATGAAACCATGGACTCCAAGTAATTGTTATGCTAGATAACGACTCACTTTATTATATATTAGTGGCTTTATTATGTCAAATGATGACTGACTGGTTTCAACATAGAACTCTGCACCGATTTGCAGCAGTTCGAGTCGCCACACTTCACTTAGCACACAAAGCAAGAGAAGAAAGTAAAAAGAAATGCAAAACAGAGACAGTAAACAGAGATATGAGGCAAAAAGAATAGTAATATCGAAGAACAATGTAGTTTTACTGGGGTATTATAAGTCGCAAAGAGTGAATGCATCTGTGCCAGCCGTTGAGAACGAGGATTTTGAGCCGTATCACCAGCTGTCTCCAGCCTTCATTGGTTTTTACCGTCCCGACGACCCCAACCAGTAGTCAAGATGTCTGCATCTCCTTATGTGGCTCAAAATAACTTGTGGATTTCATTGACCGATGAGTCCATATTTTGGTTTGACCATCACTGGCTCTTTTCCGATCTGATACTATGTCAGCTAACATTGCCTGTTGAGGGAGGCAATGGTTAGTGCTATATGGATTGTAAGCAGTTTGAACTGGTGCACTTCTGTGCGAAGTTCTGTGTTGAAACCCATTCAGTCAGTCAGTCAGTCAGTCAGGATCACTTAACTATTTCATTCTATTTTATGCATTATTTTACTATAGTCATGATATTGATTAAGTTCTTCTTTATCCCCATTTTTACACTTCTTTTGTTTTCTTTCTTTTTGATTACAGAGAACAAAATTCATGATGATTGTTGGTTTTGTTTAGGCAATCCAGAGGTTAAAAAGCATTTACTTGTTAGTATTGGTACACAAGTGTATGTTGCATTGCCTCGTGGACCTATTGTACCTGATCATGTTTTAATTTTAACTATTGGTCATTATCAAAGTTGGATAACCTGTCCTGATTATGTTCGTGAAGAAATTCAAGCGTATAAATCGCGGTTAAAACGCATGTATGATGCACAAAATAAAACAATGGTTGTATTCGAGAGGAATTTAAAAACACAACATTATCAACTTCAAGTGAGTATAGTCTCATTTCTTTTTCGGGTATTTTGGGTTTGCAGGGATCAGAAATTGACTTTAGTTAGAGAACTGTTGAAAACGCACAGGGAGGGGGGGTATTGGATAGCTGTTTATTCCCTCTAATTTGGGACTCATTCAGTTGTAGTATGCAACGCCAGGGATCAAACGGTAGGGCCTTCTGGTTACAAGGCGAGCTGGTATACCATTCGGATGTCCGGGTGGGAATTCAGTCGCCCACGAACTCTATTATTATTTATTATTATTTCCTTTAGTTCCTAGAGGAACATAGGGATTCAGCCGTGCGTCTCCATTGCGTTCGGTTCTCTGCTAGAGTTTTCACCTGGCTTCAAGTCTGCCCATACGCTTTCAATTCTTCTTCACATGACCTCCTCCAAGTCACCCTTGCACTGACGACCAACTCGCCGCTTCCCTTTCGGGTTCCACTTGAGCAATGGCTTGTCTAGTGATGTCACTTGATGGTTTCCTCAGAGTATGACCAATCCATCTCCATTTCTTCCTGGTAATTTGTTGCACAATTGGTTCCTAATTGGTTTACTCCCAGAGATCCCTGTTGCTGATCTTTTCTAGCCGGCCATCTGATCTTGAGTATTAAGCAAAGACAACTGTTGATGAAGGTCTGTAGTTTGTTTGAGATGCTCTTTACGACGCGCTGGCCAAGTTTCTGATCTGTATAGTAACACTGACTTCACATTGGAGTTGAAAATCTGGATCTTAATTTTGATGCTGAGTGCTGTTGACCTCCACACAGACTTGAGAGTAATGAAAGCTTGTCTTGCTTTTCCGATTCTTGCTTTGATATCCTCGTCAGTTCCGTCGGCTTGTAGTTGAAACGATGCTTCCCAGGTAGGTAAAGGAGGTTGTTTCTTTCAGGTTCCTCCCATTTATGCTGATTGTTGTTGCTGCTGTTGGTGGTGTTGTCCTGGAATCTTCATCACCAGCTTGAGGGAATATCAGCTTTCAACGACTTGATTTCTTGAAGCAGCTATACGGTTGTATTTATATTGCACAAGAAAAGGTATTATTAGATTGTACTAAAAATTGCTCAGTAGTCAATATAAACACTGTGATGACTGGGATGAAGATAATTAATATGATATGAGTTAGAGAGCCATTGAAAACCAGCTGGGAGTACTGGACAGCTGTTTCTTCCTCGTGTGGGACTCATCATCAGTAGGCACCCACCGGGTTTACAGACCCGACTAAATTGCCAGCCTATGAATTCTGACTTCTACCAATTCGTGATTTTAGCGCGACTGTAACAGCAGAAGGCAAGGCAAGGAAGCCAAGGTATATTTTTCATTAATCGAACCGCTGTTTATATTATCTACAGTCTATATTCGTTAACCAATCACTGAGGGAATATGTGAGAATCATATTCCTTTGGAACACACATTGTCTGTATCACACCACCACCACACGACTACCACCAGCCAGTGTCATTGGCGAGTATTGTCCTCACTCCCCGACCCGGAGGGTTGTCGAGTCGGTCCGCAGTGACTGAATAGTCTACGGAGCTTTCCTTGTAACCGGAAAGTCCTGGCGATGGGTGCATACTGTTGATGAGTCCAAAACTAGGACGAAGCGGCTGTTTTTCAGTAGTTCCCTAACAGGTATCAATCCGTGGTCAAACTTGGAACTGATCAAACCCTACGTGCAAATTCTTGAAAATTAATATAATTTTTAAGGAGTGTGGGGTACAGTTGAAGTGGATGAATTACAAAATATAGTTTTAAAAGATCATTAAATAAGTGAATTCGTATTAACAGCTTCAAAAGTAGGTCATGTATGGTCAAAACATTAAAAGTGCAATAATGATTAACAATAATGATTGTAATTATGACGTGAAGTGGAATGATTTTAACGGTTAAATAAAAGGAACATTATTATGGTCAAGGTAAAAAAAGAAATAGGGTTTAACAAAACATTTTTAAGAAATTGGTTGGAGGATTTCATCATGAGCTGACATCAGTTAGAGAATCGTTGGAAAACCAATGGGGAGTACTGGACAGCTGTTTCTTCAGCCTACCTAGTTCAGGTGTTTGTCCACATATAGCTAGGGCTTCGGTAACACATAAATGATGGAGACGTAAACTTCTAGAGTGACTGAATTTAGTTCTGTTGTAGATAACTCTAATGGATAAATCATGTGTGTGGGTGCGTACTGTCGAAGAGTCCCAAACTAGGACGAAGCAGACAGCTGTCTGGCAGTACTCCCTGCGGGTTTCCCAATGGTTCTCTAACTGATGTCAGCTCATGATGAAATTCTCCAACCAATCAAATATGAACATGTGTGAATGGAATAAGTTGGGAAAGTAAAATGGGCAAATTATTGTCAATAAAGCGAATAAAATGTTAGAATATGTTAACGTAAATTGAAAAAAGAAGCCCAGAATGGAGCAAGATGGAGTGAAGAATTTTCGTGAGTCACATAATCAAATTAGGACTGTAGTAACGAAAGACATCGCACAAATTGTTTTTGTATACGAAGTTATGGCTTTATGTTATATATTATCAAAGCTTCCGTTATATATACTGGACCTTTTAGACTATTAGTTTGTTTATTAGATGTATCACACAGTGAAACAGTATTATTTACTGGATGACAAGGTTTCAAACACAATTTATTGTTCATAATCATATCATCAATTATAATCACATGACTTCGAAACTTCAGTTTTATAGTTTTCTTTGTTCTCTCTTATTTGTCGTCGTTGGGGTAGTAGAATTTTCCAGATGTCTGGGTGGACAGGTGTTGAATCATTCCTATTACATGTATTTGCAGTTGATTCGATAAACAAAGCTTCTGTTATCAATCTCTCCTTCCATCCTGTTACATTAGATTTTAAAACTGTCATCTTATCCCATCGTCCTATTGTATGGTTGTGTGTAACTGCATGTAGTGCTATAGCTGAACTTTTCTCTAGATTTCTTATCTTATTCGGGTCAACCAATCTAGATTTTGCTAGGTTTTTGTGCTAGGCTAGTCTGACTGCCCCTTTTCTACTAGTTTGACCTATGTATTTGACCTGACAATCATTGCAGGCAAGGTATTAGATAAACTAAATTGTTTTGTTTTAAAGGCTCTACAGGATCCTTTAACCGACAAAGCTTATTTCTAATTGAGTTTGTGGGTTTGAATGCCATTTTTATTCCTGCTTTGTTAAGAATTCTGAGTAAGGTGCTTTCCGAGGTTCCTTCCTTGTATGGAATTACTACTGATGATTTAGATTCCTTATTGTTGGTGTTGTCTTGGGCATGTTTGACATACATGTCGTCATCAATATTACTATTATTGTTATTACTACTATCACTACCAATATTATTTATTTTATTTTTACATTTCCCTACATATTTCCTGACTAATTTATCAGGGTAACTATTAAGTTTCAAGGCTTCTCTTATATGTCTCACTTCCTGTCTTAGATTTTCCTTGGTACTACTTAGTTTTTGTGCTATATTACTTAAACATTTCACCAATCCTACTTTTACTGACATAGGGTGGGATGATCGGAAATCCAAATATCGGTTTGAATATGTGGGTTTCCTGTAACTATAAAACTGAAGTTTCTAACTCGTGATTATAATTGATGAAATGATTATGAACCACAATAAATTTTGTTCGAAACTGTCACCCAGTAAATACTATTGTTTCACTGTGTGATACATCTAATAAACAAACTAATATGGAATTACATATACTTTTAGACTATGTTAAAGGATGCATCCGAAGCTGCTTGCTTGATCACTACCTACTGTATGTTGCAGTATTGATTGAATAATGGCTTTACACTTGTCTTTTATTCAGCTGAGCTGAGATGTGCTCTCAGACATATGGTGGCTGCATATGTTTCTTGACGAACATCCTATCTACCTACTTCCATAAGAGTGTAGATGAACAATGAATGCACATAGAATTTGACAATCGAGGTAATCTTTTCCTTAACCATAAGGTGTGCGTCAGTTACGTCTGGAGTAAGTTCTCCTTAATGATCTTGTCGACCGTTTCCCCCCCCCCCCCAGGAATTCACTCATAGTGTTGTAATAACAGAAGACAAGGGCCAGGCAACAGATCGTTTATTAAGGAAAACCAACACATGTTTATAGATTTTAATGTACATTATTGTAGATTATTGTTAGTAGAAAATACAGTCTTCTGATTGGTTGTTTCTCACAGAAAGTTAACCTTGCATCTCTTTGTGGCTGTGTCAGATCATCTATATGCTAACTGTATCAGCCTACGTAAAGCCTTTGTTCTCATTTTCTCACCACCAATATTGGGGACATAAACATTACTGTCTAATTACTGTCCCAAACTAGGACGAAACAGCTGTCCAGTACTCCCAGGTTTTCCAATGGTTCTCTAACTGATGTCAGCTCATGATGAAATCCTCCATGTAATTACTGTCTACCAACTTTGGCTAGCAGCCAGCTCTCACAACAGTGTCACTACCGAAATGTTAAGTTTAGAATACAACATTCTTAGGTAGCTTCTTCCATTCAGTATTAACCTTGACAAAGAGTAAGAGATAGCTAAACTCCACGAAAGTTTCTTTCAATTGTGTAGGTCCTTCATCAATATTCTCTTCACTACAAATTCGTTGGACACATAACTCCATTATGTGGATTAGACCTTATTTTGATAAATCACACAGTGTACTGTTATACAGTAATATTTACTAATGACGATGTTTTGAGCACAAACTAATGCCATTCATAATCGTATCAAGGCACTACTCACACAACTTTCTTGCTTCATTTATATACATGCGTGGAATTGATGATTAGACATTGGAATAAAAATCAATATAAGATAATGTACATTCAGAAATAATAATATGAAATATTCAAAAGAATAGACACGGAACAAAGAGAACTCTTTTCGATAAATTCATCATCAGGTTCTACAATTATATATACATTATATTGAATGAATGAATTAGTCTTATGAACGACATTAATGTTGTTTAAATAACATCAAATCAATAATATTGATAGATTACAGCTGAACAGCATCAACATAAAATAAACTGAATGTCAGAAGAATTAGGAAAGGTAATATAATATTATCCTATATTGATTTTTATTCAAATATCTAATCAATTCCACACATGTTTATTACTGGATCCTAGTTCATCGAGTCCACACCCAACACAACAACCCACCCAACAACTCAACACAAATACCAGAGATATGGAAGATATTATTACCACCAGTCAAATCAGAGGAGGATAACAAATAATCTTAAAATTCTATTTCAATTCCCATACCTTATAACATGTCAAACCTTTAGGAATTGACGTCGCACACAAACCAACAAAATCACTTCACTCAATTCTATGTTAACCAAAAGACTCAACAACGAAAGAAGATAAAACCAACATCGACTACAAAATAAATTGCAACAACTGCGAAAAACACTACACTGGCCAAAGTGGCCGTCCTCTTCGTCTTCGTATCCACGATCATAAGCTAGCCGTCAAAAGACATGACATCCACTCCCTCATATCACTACATACAGACAACCACGGGCATCGATTCGATTGGGATAATGTTCAAATATTAGACAGAGGAAACAACAAAAATACTAGAGAATTTTTAGAAGCTTGACATTCCAGTGAATCATCAATCAATAGACACATCGAGGTTGACAAAATTTATCCACCAATAAGAAAGAAACCTCACACACAAGGGGTCAAAGTTCAAGATGTTTCGCTTAACGTTCTACCTTAGGAAGTTAAGGCAGTCTGGTATAAAGCAGTCTTTGCTTTCTCAGGTTGTCAATTCTTGTATTCTAACCATTCCTCTTTACTGCTCCCCATTAATCTTTCCTGGACTGCTTAAGAAAGATTTTACTTTGCTGCGTAGGGCACTAAAAGCTGTTAGTAGGGCAAGTGGAATATCGTTAAACCAACTGGTTAACACCATTGTGGATAGACATATAATGTCATGTAAGAAACTAGCGAATACTATATTGTCAGACCTTGAGCATCCTCTCTATACGCAGCTCTCTCCTTGCATTTCATCTGGTAGAACTAGAAGCAACTATAGGAGGCTATATGCCAGGACTACCAAGTACAAAAAACTCCACATTACCTTATCTGGCACAGCTGTTATGTGGTGAGAAATCCGTTAGGTATGACACGATCAACTTACTGCGGTACTCTAACAAATAGTTCCCATTAGTTTTTGTTCTCCTTTCTTTGTTACTATTATATTGTTGCTCACATATTCTATTACACACTAATTTTATATTTCATATCCTGTGGTGCATTGTTTAAAATGTGAATGCAATGCTGTTCTTTTTTATTTCTTTTATTTATCTTTTTTTCTTTTTGTTGTTGTAGCTTTTTATTTTTAATAATCTTATAAAATTTATGAGGTAATTAGATGTAATATTTTAATGCACGCTGAAAATTCCATACCTGTACCACAAATACTGTTTGGAATAAAGCTATTATTATTATTAAAAAAGTCAAAGAAACAATCAGTTCCAATACAAGTAGCCTAGAAGGTATGAAAACACACAAAAACAACCAGTCACATCCCACGTCACCAGGAGAGATGATTAGTAAACTCGTGGAGAAATCTAAATGCTCACTTCAAATTGAAGTAGTATGCGCTGAAGATGTCACCTGGTAAGGGGTAATGAAAGCTTCGCAAATTAACTATCCAGCTCAGAGAACACAACCACATCAAAATACATTCTAACATTCTAACAAGTTATTTATTTATTTTACTGTGAAAACATCCTATTTTCCATCTGATTGTATTTTATTGATAACATTGATACTATTTCCGAATGTTCTTTATCTTATATTGCTGACTTTATTCAAATGTCTAATCGCATCAATGTTTACTCATGTATATAAATGAAGCAAGAAAGTTGTGTAAGTGAGTGACTTGATATGATTATGACTGGCAATGATAATTTGTGCTCGAAACGTGGTCATCAGTAATTATTACGTACTGCACAACAACACACTGTGATTTTATCAAAATAAAATCTTATCCATAATGGAGTTATACTCTACCACCACAGTGCCCAAGTTTTATCCTTATATCGTCGGACACATGTTCAGAGGAATGGAGAAAGAGAGAGAACAGATTAAATTAAATGGGAGTAACTTTAAGAGGAAATTTGGAGAGCCATGTAGATGCCTTTTTCTTTTCAATTTGTGAATTATTTGTTTTATTGATACAATGTGTGATTTCATTTTTAAAACTCTATGATCAGTAGTCATTACATTCCCCTCCCCCCACCAATTCTTATCTGCTTATTCAAGGTTGTTCCTGTACCGTATTCAGTAGCAGCTCATGTGAAGCCATCATTTCTTGATATGTCAGTCAGTTTTGAAGGTAGTCCATGTGAATTGAAGCAGATTCCTCGTCGAACAGATATAGATCAGGTATGTTTTTTAAAGAAATAAAAATTTATAAATTCTGCATTTTTAAATAAATAACTATTGGTTTTATTATTATTTATTTATTTATTGTCGTTCCCTTGGGTTCCAAGCCGGCAGTCTGTCTGTCTGTTTTCGACATAGAACTTTGCACATATGTGCGGCAGTTCAAGTCACCACACTCCATGTAGCACACAAAGCAAGAGAAGAAAGTAGAAGAAATGCATAATACAAACAGTTAACAGAGGTGTGAGACAAAGGTATAGTACTAACGAAGAACAATATAGTTCCATTGGAAATCATAAGTCACAAGGAGTGGATGCATCTGCACCTGCCATTGAGAACGATTTTGAGCTATGTGACCAATTGTTTCCAACCATTGGTTTTTAGCGTCCCGAGGACCCCAACCGGGAAGTCTACACCTTCCTGAGTGGCTTAGACTAACTATTGTAGATTTCATTGACTGGTGCCAAGTTTTCGTTTGACCGCCGCCAGCTCTTTTCCAGCCTGGCCCTATATCAGCTAACATTGCCTGTCGAGGAAGGCGATGACTAGGCATACGTAGCACATTTCATAACCATCTCAGTCGATGTAGCTTCACAGGCTTGTCGATTGATTTTCCCTCCTTACCTAGCACTCGACCAATGCCTAACCTCAATATTGCTCACCTTATTATGCCACTTCACGCGGGAGATAAAACGCAGGCACGTATGATCGAACACAGATAATCTTTTCATGTCTTCTGCTCTCAATGGCCACGTCTCACAGCCATAAAGGAGGACGAAGCGGACTGATGAGCAGTACCCCCGCCCTTTGGTCGATAGTCTACACCAGAAATGGCGTAGACTGGCATATGCGAAACTAACCCTCTGTATTCGTGTTGAGATTTTGTCAGAGATCAACCCGTTGGGGCTAATGGTACTTCCCAAGTAAGTGAAGCGGTCAACGTGGTCTACCACTTCACTTCCTATTTCTAATCTAGGGGTCGGTGTAGTCCAATCCTGCAACTTTATCATTTACAGGGGCGAATCGCATGCCAAACATACGAAGATTGCTGCTCAAGGTGTTCAGAAGACTCTGCATTTTATCAGCGTCTTCGCCTAGAAGGACTATATCGTCTGCATATTCTAAGTCAACGAGATTATTACCTGGTAATAAGTCAATCCCTGAGTCTGTGAAGTGAGGTAAGGTTAAGTCCATTAACCAAGCTGGCAGTCCTTTTTATTAGCTGGCTCTATAATTGTCCACAAGCTATCATTTCCTCTTCACAGGATCTCCTTCATGTCACCGCCGAACTAATGCCCCCAACTCGTTGTATACCACTCAGCTTCAGCTCCAGGGCCTTCCTGGCGCATGTTTGTTGAGTAGTAAGTTCTTGGTCGGTTAATTTCCGAAGCTCCTTGTTGTTGCTTATTCTTTCCAGTTGGTCATCTAATCTTCAGTATGGAACAATGAAGGCAAGTGTCGACGAACGCCTGCAGTAGCCGTTGGCTTCTCATCAGCTCAGCTGCTGCTTACAGCCTAAGTAAAATCTAGAGAAAAAATAAATTTGAAGCATGCAATTGACGACGAAGCAACTTCCTATTGTGTCGATATGTCGATGACACATTTGTAGTGTGCGACAATGAAAGTCATGCTTCTTGCCTACTCAGATTATTCAACGACGCACATACAAATACTGAATTTACTATGGAACATGAAAATGATGGTAAGTTTTGTTTCCTTGACATTGTCATGCAACAATGCCTGGAAGATGGTAGTCTCCAGAGGTCAATTTACCGAAAGCTGACATGGAATGGACGATACTTACATTTTAATAGTTTTTATCCAAACAGTCAGCTATAAACCAGCACTAGTCAAGACTGTACTATAGAGCGAGGAGAATATGCTCTGCAGAGGAACTATAGGACGACTTGACGATTCTCGAAAAGGTGTTGAAAAACAACGGTTATCCTCAAAGATTCATTAACAAATATGGATGATGTGGAGGCTCAAATATCAAACAAATCACAGTTGAAAAAAACCTGTCTTCATTCAACTAGATTTTAAAGGTGAAAATATTGCAGAAATAGTCAACAGAAGATTGAGGACGTCACTAACCATAGCCTATCCTGTAGCTAAGTTGGTTCCTGTCCATCGAACAACATGTTCTTTGGTGCAATCAAAAGTCGACAGATACCCTTCTCATGTTAACTCCAACTGTGTATGCAAATTTACATGTATCTGCGGGAGCAGTTACATTGAGGGAACAGAAAGAAGGACACACTTCCGATTTTCTGAACATGTGCCGAAAAGCCGAAGTCTCAAGGAAACAAACTCTTATAATAGCGCTATTATCAGACATCTCCTGGATACGGGTCATGAGGTGAAAATCGCGAAATCCTGTAAAATTATCAATAGACAAAGGAGCTTGATTCTCCTCAAGTTTGCCGAAGCGATTTCTATCAAACGTTTGAAACCAGGATTATGTATTCAGAAAGAAGCAGTTATTAGTCTTTTCTTGCCCTGGTAATTGGATTTCTTAATTCTCTCACTTGTTCTTCGATATTACTATTCTTTTTGCTTCATATCCCTGTTTACTGTCTCTATTTCTCATTCCCTCTACTTTCTTCTCTTGCTTTGTGCGCTACATGGAGGGAGTGTGGCGACTCGATGTGCTGCACATCGGTGCAAAGTTCTATATTGAAACCAGTCAGTCTGTCAGTCTCACCCTCCATATAGTACACAAAGGTAGAGAAAAGAAAGGGAACAGTAATGAACGGAGATGTAGAGGAGAAAGAATAGGTAACATGGGGGGAAATATGAGGGTTTAATCGATATGATAAATTATAAAGAGTGAGTGTATCCGCGGCATTGGCAACGATTTTGAACCACACATCAGCAACATTCTCTAGCTATTGGTTCTTAGTGTCTTGATGTTCCCAACCAACTCAATCTCTACATCTTTCTAAGTGACTGGCTCAAGCTGAGTGTCTAAGACTTAATGAATTGATGTCAAGCTTTGATTTAACCCCTCCCCGCTGACTCTTTTCTGACCTAATCACCGTGTCAACTGAGATTATTGGTCGAGAAAATCTGTGAGTAGACATAAGTATGTGACACGTATCATAACTATGTTAATCGACGTAGTTTCATAACGTCATCTATAGACTTCCTTCACTTACCTAACTACTCTACATCCGATCTGAATATTACTCACCATATTATACTGCAACGACAGAAGACAAGGGCCAGGCGACAGATCATTTATTGAGAAAATCAACAGATATTTATAGATTTTTATGTTGTTAGCAGAGAAGCAACGTCTTCTGATTGGTTGTTTTCTGTACTGCTTGTGACCGTTTCTTAGAAAGTTAGGCCATATATCTGCGAATGGTATTTGCACACGTTAAGTCTGCTGTGATTGGTCGATGAGTTTCTCAAGGTTAAGCTTTGTTATCACTTTTTTTCTCATGACTCCAATTCGGGACGTGAAGATTGATGCAAATTGTTGTCTACAGTTTTGACTAGCAGACAGCTCTCACCCCAATATACTACTAAACATGTGACATAGAACGCAAACATCTGTGCTTAAAGGACACCTAGTCTTCTCACATCTTCCACTTTGCAATGGTTATGTTTCTCACAGCCTGAAGGGAAGGATAGAGCGAGCTGCTGAAACAAACTGTTTGTTCTCTAACCTCAGTGTGATGTGGTGGTTGGATTGCAGATTTCTTTTTAGATGTTTACTTTTCCCACTTATATTTTGTCTTTATGGTGCTTCGAACCCTGGTGGGTACGTACTGATGAAGAGTCCCAAACTAGAATGAAACAGCTGTCCAGAACTCCCAGCTGGTTTTCCAAGGATTCTCTAACTGATGTCAGCACATGATGAAATCCTCCAACCAATTAAACAAACAAAATCCCTACAAAACAATCAATACTTGAAAATTGATCTGATGCTCACTAGCGACTGGCCCTATTCAGGCAGTTAACCTGGGATTCTGGTGGAAAGTCGTTACCAGTAGGGTACAGCAGGTTGAAGGTGAGGCAGTAACTCATCGAGGAAGACATTGCGAGGTGGTCGTGCTATGTTATGAATTGGTAGAAGTTGGAATTCATTGGCTGGCCGTTGGATCGGGTCCCAGTGGCTTAGTGGTCTACGAGCTCGCTGGCCTTGTAACTAGAAGCTCCTGGGGTCGAAACCCAGTGGGGTGGGTGCGTACTGTCGAAGAGTCCCAAACTAGTACGAAACAGAATGCTGTGCAGTACTCCCAGGTCTTCCAATGGTACTTTAACTAATGTCAGCTCATGATGAAATCCTCCAACCAACCAATCAAACTAAATCCCTACAAAAAATCAATACTTCAATATTTATGGCGCTTAATTTGTTTTTCTCGTTTCTTTTTTTGTTTTTTGATAAATATTCTTATAGATTTGTCGAGTAGGCATTCCTTACTTTTTTGTTGAATTACCTACTGGAGAGAAGCTATTTGGTCGGATACCAAAAGATCGTATATCTAGTACAAATCTACAATTTGGTCGGTATGTTTCTCCTTCTTATTTTTCTTATTTTGTTTTGTTTTGTTTGTTCCTTTGTTTGTTTTCATTCCTTTACATTCTGAGGATGGAACAAATACGAGGAGGATTTTTTTTGAAGCTTTTGAGTTTTTTTCAAATCGTGGAAAATACCCATCGGGAGATTAGAGGGAGAAGAACAAGAAGTTCAGCAAAGATATCTCATCTTTTCTGCGATTTCATTCTCAAGAGCAGCTGTACAATCGCATTTATATATACATTAGTTTACATGGACACAATTATCATTATTTATTTAATTCCACATAGTAACGAAGGAGATAATAATTTTCAACTTGATATGAAAGTTTGAAGGTACGAATATATAGATTACAAGGGGCTTAGAGACAAGATTGCATAGGATTAGAAAACAGTTACAACGTATGCAAAATTAATATTTGATAGCTGGAGAAATAATTTTAAAGGCGAATAAAAGTTGACAATTATTTTCGATTTGATATGAATTACAAGAGGCTTAGAGACGCAGGGATAGAACGAAATACAAGTGTGAACAAAATGAGCATGGAAACAAATTGGAATCAAAGTTTTTCAACTTGAAATGTAAGTTAGGAGGCGGTGTGAATATAGATAGATTACAAGAGGCATAGAAACAAAAAGAATAATTACACAGGATTAGAATATAATTGTAAAATGGTTACTGTAAACGGATTACAAGTGTGATCAGGAGGAGCATGGAAACAAATTTTAAAATAACTGATTTTATAACTGAAAATCCAAAAAAATTCGGATTTTCAATACAAACGTCAAGTCAGTTGTTCTAAACGGATCAGAAACTTGGTGGGTCACCAAGAATATTTCCAAAAGGTTGAAAACCTTTATCAACAGCTGTCTTCGTTCTATACTGAAGATCAGATGGCCGGAAAGAATCACCAACAAGAAACTATGGGAACAAACAAAACAAGAACCAATCGCTCAACAAATATGCAGGAGAAAGTGGAGATGGATTGGACACTCGCTGAGGAGGCCGCTGGGTGACCGCGCGTCAGGCCATCGCTCGAGTGGAACCCGAAAGGGAAGCGGCGAGTGGGACGTGCAAGGGTGATATGGAGGAGATCGTGTGAAGAGGAGTTGAAACAGAATGGACTAACATGGATGCAAGTGAAAAGTACAGCTGAAGACAGAAGCGAGTGGAGACGTGTAGTTGAAGCCCTATGTTCCACTAGGAACTCAAGGGAACAATAATAATAAATAATAATAATAATAACTGAAAAAGAAAATGGGATGAATTGAATGAAGACAAAGAGAGAAAATTACACACTTACACACACAGAAAAAAACGTTTCAGTAGTGTAGCGTTGGTGTTCCTTTTACAGTGTGGGGTTGCTAGCCTCTCATCCAATCTTCTTTCTTTATTCTGGGCTTATTAACTAACTGGCCAAACGAGGTTTGTAGGAGTGCGTCCGTCGGTTGACGGGGAATCGAACCCGAATCACTTGTGATGTTACTGATGAGCATTCTACCGGAGAAACCACTGAGGCAAAGATTTTATCAAGGTGGAGTGCGTGCATATAGCATATCATCCTCATATTTCTTATATTTTCCTTTTTTTGTTGTTGTTGATTGTAAGTGTATTTTATGTTTTGATTTTTTAACGACGATATCGGATACTTTGGGGGAGGGGGTTATCAATTTAATGCGTTTTAATCACGACTGACACTTACTTCACACTTCAGCATTTTAGGTAAATTGGATCAACTACACCGTTTGGTAGTCTTTTTCCTTCATTCCTTGCATTCGGAATGGGGGATACCATGGATATGGCTTCAGGTTGTGTGAAGTTTCATTAGTGGTGGTGTCCTCTGTTTCATGGGATGGGGTTATTAACCTCAAACCTAGCGCCCCCCCACATTTTTACCGGGCCTAACTATCGATTAGTAAACTAGGCGAGGTTTAAGAATGTGTTGGTAGGGAATCGAACTCCAGGACTCCTGCGAGTTCGGTAGTCTTTTGGTTTGTAGAAAATATTTTACAGTAACTTGTGGAAGATGTAGCTGCTCATTGGTTTACGTGGCGGCATTCAACTTTCAACTCTGCTCCATCTATGGTGAGGGCTAGCTGCTAGCCAAAATCGGAAGATAGTAATTTACGTCAGACAGTGGGCGATGAGGAAACAGGCATAAAATGGACTCAGACAAAAAACTTGAAGGATCTGGACTTCGACGATGATATTTGTCTAATTTCCCACAAACTTGAAGATATGCAAGCGAAAAGCAACAAGTTGACAGAATAAGCATCAAAGATAGGAAGGAGTTCAGGTGAACATAGAGGTAACAGTGATGAAGATTCCTCGTCAACAGTTACAGCAACAACAACAGACATCATTCAGCCAGCATAAATGGGAGGAACCTGAAAGAAACAACCTCCTTCACTTACCTGAGAAGCATCGTTTCAACTACAGGCGAAACTGACGAGGAGATCAAAGAGAGGATCGGAAAAGCAAGACAAGCTTTCATTACTCTCAAGTCTACGTGGAGATCAACAGCACTCAGCATGAAAATGAAAATGAGATCCGGATTTTCAACCCCAATGTGAAGTCAGTGCTACTATACGGATGGATCAGAGACTTGCACTGCGCGTCATAAAGAGCACCTCAAACAAACTACAGACCTTCATCAACAGTTGTCTTCGCTCAATACTCAAGATCAGATGGTCGGTCAGAAAAAATCAGCAACAGAGACCTCTGGCAATGAGCGAACCAACCCAGCGGGTACCGATTGTGCAACAAATAGGCAGGAAGAAATGGAGATGGATTGGCCATACACTGAGGAAACAAACCATCAAATGACATCAATAGACAAGCCCTAGAGTGGAACTCGAAAGGGAAGCGGCGAGTTGTTCGTCAGTGCAAGGGTGACTTGGAGGAGGTCATGTGAAGAGGAGACGAAAACGTGTGGGCAGACTTGGAGCCAGGTGAAAACTCTAGCAGAGAACCGAACGCAATGGAGACGCACGGCTGAAGCCCTATGTTCCTCTAGGAATTGAAGGAAACAATAATCATTTACGTCAATGTGTACGCCCCCAATATTGGTCATAAGAAAAATAAGAACAAAGACTGACTACTCAACAACTAATCACAGCAGACTTTGCGTAGGTGGATACAATTTGCTGAAAGATAATCTGAAATTCAAGAAACGACCACAAAGAGATGAAAGATTAACGTTCAGCGATAAACTACCATTCAGAAGGCTGTGTTTGTTCGCTTACCATAATCTATAATAATGTACATGAAAATGTATATAAATATGTGTTGATTTCGTAAATAAACGATCTGTTGCCTAGCCCTTGTCTTCTATCGTTCCACATCTACTTCAACCTAGGAAACGAATTGGGCGGTAGTATCCACCGGCCGTCAGACAATAAGTGCGCCGTATAACCTGGTACTTGAAATATAACTATTCCGGGGGAACTGAGTTTCAACGGATAACTAACCGATTCTCCAGTTTGTCATCCGTACTTAATCATTGGATAGTTTTGAGCGTAATAAATAAAAAGTATCTATTATTATTGATCCCGAGTGGAAAACAGGGCCTCAGTAGCACGTCTTCATTTTAATATCTTCTCTTCAGCTTGTTTTAGTTGACTCCACGGTTTCCCCATAAGCTTTCATCCCCTCCTCCTGCTCAATGTGTTACCCCCTGGAGATGAACTCCCAACTAGTGGTTTGCTTTTCGGGTTCAACTGGAGAGCTTACCTGGTCTCCTCAGAGTAAACCTAATCCATCTTTATTTCTCTCTGCATATATGTCGGTTAGTAGGTTTTTGAGTGGTTCGTTGCCAAAGTTCCTATCTTAGATAGTTTCAGTATAAATCATAATTCTTTATAATAATGGTTTTTTGTATTTCCTAATGAATGAAAAACAAAACGGCATTGTTGTTTTTACTGAAGTTTCACTATTTAATGCTGCTGCTAATAGCTTTATCTAAGTAGTAATATTAAACTAGAATTTACAAAATCTCAGCTCATATAGATAACAACTTAATCATCGTCCCTCGCCATGGGGTCATTTTTCCGTTATCAAATTGGCCAATCGGTAAAGATAACAAAACCAGGTGTAGATTGTCGGATTTGATAAGTGTGTAAAATTACAAAAGCAGCATGTGTTTACATAATGAAATCGCTTATCAATCACATTCGTGTTGATTTTGTCATTTCATTGGGTAGGGCGGTGTTGTAACCAGGTCAAATTCTGTTTTAGTCTACCATTCAGACACTATTCAGGCAATTTGGATTCCATTTGATGATATGAAGTGCTTCTAATAAAATTAGACGTTCTTTGTGATTTCTGAACTGCTTTTTCTGGATGATGATTTCAATATTGTCAAAATCAATTCTGTGGCCTGATTCTATAGCGTGTAGACAAGCTATGGCTGACTGATGATTTTTCAAGCTTTTCTAGTTCACCTGGATTTCTCGGTGGTCGAACAGATGTGGCTCTAAGGTGTTCATTTCTTCTGATTTTGATTTTTCTCTAGCGATGTTTGTCCGATGTATATCACATCACATTCCAAGCATTTTATTTTATGGACACAATTAGGTAGAGAATCCTTAGGGATTTGGTCTTTTATATGGGCAAGGTTGCTGTGCAATGTGTTTGATGTTTCGAAGAAAACTCTAATGTCGAGCTGATTGAGTACTCTTCTGATACCTTCTGACGTCTCTGATCTATATAGAATGACAACTGTTGAGGTCCATGTTTTCGGAATGCCTTTTCGACCATACTTAATGTCAGTGTTGATTTTGTTGATGAAGTTCTTTGGGTAGTTGTTCTTCTTTTTCTTTCTCATCCGTTATCAATCAGAAAGTGTGCTCGTCTTAGAATACTTGAAACAACTGATACCTTTGCGCTGATGATGGGGTGTGATGATCTGAAGTCCAAATATTTGTTGGAGTGTGTGTTTTCTTCCTGAATATAGATATACTAAAATAGTGAAACGTCAGCAAGAACAACAATATCGTTTAGTTATTCATTCCTTGGGAAATACAAGAAAACCTCCCAAGTTAGATTATGAAGTGACATCAGTTGGAGGAGAGCCCTTTGACTGTCAGCAGGGTGTACTGGAACAACTGTTTCGTCCTAATTTTCGGGCTCCTCAGTAGTAGTAGTAGTGCGCAACCATTACCCCACTAGGGATCGAATTCTATTTAATTAAAACAGAAACTTGATGCATTATTGGCATAAAGAGATGCACTAGACATTGCTAGAAAGATGATTAAGGCTTGTAATAGTAAGTGTAGAATTAAAGATTCTCATGAATCGTTGTATCATTGGAATACCTCCCCGGAACACCTTTGGCTTGAGGTCTGATATACAAAGCAGTGGAGTGTCGTCAGGAGCTACCTTCCCATTGTTTCCGGTGAGTAAAATAGGTTCAGATGACTCTAAACTATAGCAGCCCAAAATGAAACTACCTAATGAACGAATTGATGACCTTGACAAATATATTTACAAAAAATTGGTTTAACCTGACTATAGGGACTTCTGTGAGAAACTAGGTGGTTTTTTTTGGACCATATACAAGAATATTATCCTCTGAAACCATTTCTTAACATTGCATTACTTGCATATAGACTTTTATTTCAAATTGCGCACTTCTACTTCTCACGAATGTGATTGGTTGCTAGAGGTAGTTTCGTTTTGGGCTGCTATAGTTTAGAGTCAACTAGGTTCATACACTGCTGAAATCTTCCGGATTGTGGAGCCCATATAACACGCGATAGGTTTGGAATCAGGGTTTTTAAGCTTCTGTAGACAGTATGTCAACCAATCCGGTTGTAGGTAGCAGAGGCTCTCATTCTGTCTTTCATTTTTGTGAGACAACTTTTTTTCTCCTTCACGTTCCCAGTGGAACATAGGGCCTCAAGCTAGTGGCTTGAAGTTTCTGTAGCAGTGTTTTTATTTTTACAGGATGGGGTTGCTAGCCTCATGCCCAACCTTTCCTCTTTACCAGCATTATTTCTGGCTTAATGAGGTAAAGGAGTGCATCATCGGCCGGGGCTCGAACCCCTTACCATGTGCATGGTCAGCGAGCGTCCTAACCGCTATGCCACCGACGCACAATGGATAGGACTTACCTGGCTGGCAGAGAGATGGGCTATAAACGTGTGGTCACATTGTAACAACAGAAGGCAAGAGTCAGATCGTTTATTTACGAAATCAACAGATATTTATAGATTTTCATGTACATTATTATAGATTATTTTAAGGAAACAAACACAGTCTTCTGATTGGTGGTTTCTCGCTGAACGTTAATCTTTCATCTCTTGTGACCGTTTCTTGAAGTTCAGATTATGTCTCTGTAAATTGTATCCGCCTACGCAAAGTTTGCTGTGATTGGTTGTTGAGTCAGTCTTTGTTCTTATTTTTCTTATGACCAATATTGGGGACGTACACATTGACGTAAATTACTGTCTACCGATTTTGGCTAGCAGACAGCTCTCACCACAACTTGAGAGCTTTTCGAGAAGAAGATCGAAGCTTACCCCGCCGCCTATCCGTCGGCCGTACCAGGGGTCGAACCTAGAGCCATCAAGTCACAATGCAATCGTGTTGACCATTCAGTCTTTAGGAGAGAATACATAAATTATTACTGATCTCAGATCATCACCATCTAACTTGAAATATCATATTGATTTGCTCTGTATTGATTTATTTTTCATCCTTTATTTATGATTATTCGTTCTTCTCTCTCTCTCTCTCTCCATCTCTTCAAGTATTGTTCTAACCAATCCGAATATCCTGAATTGTCCAGAGAAAGCAGATTGGCATGATTGTACAGAAGAGGAAGAAGTGGAAGCTGATTTGGCGAAACAATTTCGTAAAATGTTTTCCAAATACGAAGCGATGTAAAGAAAGAAGCGCACCTCCACTCCACTCCACTCCGCCCTCTTCGGGTTTTTTTCCTCACTATTCTGTACACTTTTTTCTTCTAAGCATCAGTTTATTTACTTATTGTAAACATACTGCGGCAGTCATCGTCGTTCTTCTGTTTTTTCATCGGTCCCTTTCTTTGCGCCTCCGATTCCTTTTTAATATTTCATTGGTGAGAAAGATTATTCATTCTTGTACAGTAATAAACGACCTAGCATATTCATATACTATACGTATAGATTCCTAAATAATATATGTATCCTTTGTGCTGCTCTTTCTTTTATTCCTTTGCGTTCCGAGGATGGAAGGTGTGTTATGACTGAACGGAACTGATCCGTCGCCAATTTGTTATTATTATTGTTTTCTTTAATTCCTAGAGGAACATGGGGCTTCAGCCGTGCGTCTCAATTGCGCTCGCTTCTCTGCTAGAGTCTTCACCTGGCTCCAAGTCTGCCCACACGTTTTCATCTCCTCTTCACATAACCTCTTCCAAGTCACCCTTACACTGACGACCAACTCGCCGCTTCCCTTTCGGGTTCCACTCTAGGGCTTGTCTGGTGATGTCACTTGATGGTTTCTTTGCTCAGAGTATGGCCAATCCATCTCCATTTCTCCCTGCATATTTGTTGCACAGTCGGTTCCTGGTTGGTTCGCTCATTGCAGAGATCCCTGTTGCTGATCTTTTCTGGCCGGCCATCTGATCTTGAGTATTGAGCAAAGACAACTGTTGATGAAGGTCTGTAGTAATGTACTGGAGTGGTACGCTAATACATATATTGTGCGTCCGTTGTACCTTCCGATTCACTGAGCCACGCAAATATTATCAAAAGACAATGGCTGGCTGGCCTGTGACTGTAAGCTATTGCCTTGTGCATCTATATGAGGAAACGAAACATCATATTTATATATTTAATTTATCACAATATAGTTGGCTCATAACCTTGAGAATGGATTGTTCTTATTGGCTGGAAATGTCTATTGTGATTGGTTGGTGATCCGAAAAGGACCAAGGTGTGACAAAAGACGATGAATCGATTACACAATAAATCACAATATGAGTGAGAAACGATAGATCCACATAGTAACTCCATCACATGACGAATCACACGATTCGTGAGAAAGAATGATGTACTATTTTATGATGGGTCCTATCCGAAGATAATAGGGTTTCAAGTATGAGGCTTGGAGTTTCAGTAGCGTTGGTCGTGTTGTTGTTTTTACAAAGTGGAGTTGCTAGCTTCATGCCCGTTGTTTCCTCTTTTACGGGGTTTATCAGTACGTCGGCCGGCTGGAGGCGTGGTTGGGGAGTATTCATACATTGAACCACTGGCACTCTATCTCTTTTGTGTTAACTGGTGGTATTTTACACTTAGTAATAATGGCGTTAAGCGTTTGTTGTGCATGTCTAACCGTCGCCTTCCTTGTCGAGCAGTAGTAAGTTGACATAGACTTATTAGTGAAATCAAAACGTGGCATTGATTAATAGATGAAGAATTTGAACAAAGCAACAACTACAGTTTTAGCAGAATAAAATGGTACCATCTTTTATTTTCGTTGCCTTCTCGTCAGCTGCTTACGGGGCAAAGACATTATTAAATGTATCTACAAAAACAATTTTAGCATACTTGCACAGAGTTTATTTTAAACAAAAATCAATCGATCAGTATACGCATACACTAATAATATATACAAATATATATGCAATATTAAACACAATTACGAACAATAATAATCCTACACAATGGAAACTTTTCAGCATCTCGCATTCGGATGAAAAATATCCAGTTACCAGGGCAAGGAAAGACTGATAACCGCTTCTTTCTGAACGCATAAGTCAGGTTTGAGGCGCTTGATGGAAATGGCTTCAGCAAAATTAAGGAAAATTGAGCTCTTTTGTTTATTGATAATTTTGAACGACTTTTCGACGTCCACCTCATGACCCGTGTCAAGATGATTCCTGGCGATGGCACTGTTTAAAGCATTTGTTCCCTTTAGACATAGGCTTCTTGGTACATGTTCAGAAAATCGTAGATATGCCCTTCTTTCTGTCCTTCCAATGTAAGTGCTCCCGCAGATACATGTAAATTGGTATATGTAGTTGGAGTGAACATGAGGAGGATATCTATCGATTTTTCATTGCACCAAAGAGCAAGTTGTTCGATAGACGAGAACGAGCTTAGCTACAGGATAGGCTCTGGCTGGTCACGTACTCAGTCTTCTGTTGACCGTTGCTGCAATAATTTCACTTTTATAATCAAGCTGAAAGTAGATTGGCTTTTTTCTTACTGTGATTTGTTTTTCATTTGTGACTTCAGATCTTCCATACTTGTTGATGAACCTTTGAGGGTACCCATTGCTCTTCAATGTCTTTTCAAGAAACTCAAATTCTTCCTCTAATTTCTTTATAGAGCATATTCTCCTCCCTCTATAGTACAGAGTCTTGACTAAACCACGTTTAAAGCTATGTACAATATTATTGTTCATAAAGAATGTACTAGAATTGAAGAATGGGTCATTCACGCATAGGTGACTACAGCTACATAATCAAGTGTAAAGAGGTCAAGGACACAAAGATACTAAGAATTAATAAGGAAACAGATGCATGCATTCATTAAGTTATAACACATATACACACTGATAAAATTAAGGTGAAATGAAGTTTCAACAAGTTGTGGTGAAAGAGTCAGTGTTTACCAAAGTACTAATAAGTTAGTAACCGTCTTAGTTTGTTTATTAGATATATCACACAGTAAGTGAGACAGTATTATTTACTAGATGACGTTTCGAACAAAATTTATTGCGGTTTATAATCATATCAATTATAAATTAGTCAGGAAATATGTAGGGAAATGTAAAAATAAAATAAATAATGTTAGTAGTGATAATAATAATAATGAAGACATGCATGTCAAATATGCGCAAGACAACACCAACAATAAGCAATCTAAATCATCAGTAGTAATTCCATACAAGGAAGGAACCTCAGGAGCTTCACGCAGAATTCTCAACAAGGCAGGAATAAAAACGGCATTCAAACCCACAAACTCAATTAGAAACAAGCTTTGTTGGCTAAAGGATCCTATAGAGCCTTTAAAACAAAACAATTTAGTTTATCTAATACCCCACCTGCAATGATTGTCAGGTCAAATACATAGGTCAAAGTAGTAGAACAGGGGCAGTCAGACTAGCTGAACATAAAAACTTAGCAAAATCTAGATTGGTTGACCCGAATAACATAAGAAATCTAGAGAATAGTTCAGCTATACCGCTCACTACATGCAGTCACACACAACCATACAATAGGATGGGAAAGGATGGCAGTTTTAAAATCTAATGTCACAGGGTGTAGGGAGGGAGGGATTGATAACGGGAGCTTTGTTTATCGAATCAACTGCAAATACATGTAATAGGAATGATTCAACACCTGTACACCCAGATATCTGGAAAATTCTACTACCCCAAAGACAAAAAATAGGAGAGACCAAAGAAAACTATAAAAGTCAAGTTTCAAAGTCGTGTGATTATAATTGGTGAGATGATTATGAACAATAGTAGATTGTGTTTGAAACCTTGTCATCCAGTAAATAATACTGTTTCACTCACTGTGTGATACATCTAATAAACGAACTAATATGGAACTATGTGAGTCTCGCCAGCTAGATGTACCTACAGTAATGTTCAGTGAGTGATTGCATTCCCACTGACACTCAAACCCAATATCTAGTGTTTCAAATACCAACACAGATATATTCGGCTGATAAGTCCCGAATAAGACATGGAAAACTCCATGATTTCACTTCTAGCCAACATCAGCCAAAACAACTTCAGTAGGGATTAGTTAAGAACTGGAATTGACACAAAAGATTTGAACATCATAATTATATATTTTATTTAATACTATCCTTGTTATTATTAATATTAAGTAATGTACTGTGACTATTCATTGCCGGTAAGCAAATTTTTAATACATTTTAGAATTTCCTGCATCCGTGTAGAATGTGATAAAAACATGAGTTGCATACCTTAGCTAAAATCCCTTGTCTTTGATAATAGTGGATGGTCGGAGTCAATCGACAGGAAGCCTCACCTGACCTAGGTTTCGTGCTAGTTGGCACTCGTCAGCAAGGCGTATCTGCAGCCTTGAAATAACTCATGTCCCTTCTGAGATTCGAACCCATGTTACCCAGTGCTGCAGTCATAGACATTACCGCCACCGAAGTAGCTTTTCGGGCTCGCAATTGACCTCTTCTAGAACTGTAGCGGATACTGGATACTGCAGCACTGGGTGACGCGGGTTCGAATCTCAGAAGGGACATTAGCTATTTCAAGGTTGCAGATACGCCTTGCTGACTGGTGAGTGCCAACTAGCACGAAACCTAGGTCAGGCAAGGCTTCCTGTCGATGGCCTCCAACCATCCACTATTATCAAATCAATGTGTGCCGCAATAGCGAGGTACCTAGTGGAATGGTGGCCACATTGCAAACCTGACTGATTGAATTCAGTCTGCACCAAAGAAAGGACTTGACGCATAACACTAGTTACTAGTGTCCAATCAAAGTATCCCTTGTCTTCTCTAATGTCGTAGTATCTGTTTTCATTATATATGTGTATTTTTTATTCCTTTATGTTCCCAGTGGAACATAGGACTTCAAGCTAGAGGCTTGAAGTTTCTGTAGCAGTGGTGGTTATTTTTACAGGATGGGGTTGCTAGCCTTGTGCCCAACGTTTCCTCTTTACCAGTCTTATTAATGGCTTACTGAGGTAAAGGAGTGCGTCAGTGACCGGGGATGGAACCCTGGACCACATGAGGCGTGGTTGGCGAGCACTCTACCGCCGTACCACCGACTCTCATCGTTACATATTGAAAAGTCCTATTTGTAAATGAAACTTCTAGAGATATTGGATTAAACATTAGCATTCATGATATAAAGTAATTCAATATCTACTGATGTTCAGAAGCTCCTGTTACATCTTTCTG